CCCCCTTTTCCTGATGACGACCGCTTGTGTTGCGATTGAAACGTCGTGGTTTTTAACCTTTTATTTTTGTTATTTTCTCTATCTACGTGACTTTACTGAAAGAACCAAAGAAAATGAATTCCCGCAGTAACGAAAGTTTTAAGTCAAAACTATAACATGTTAATAGCTTCAAAAAGTCAAAGAATCTCCCACTTGATAATTGGTTTTTTACCCTCTTATCTGGCAACAAAACTGACACCTTTTTTTACGAGGAGTCATGTTTGCATTGACCACAATACCTGCGGTCATAATGCAAAAAAAAACATAACTCTGATAATGTATGCACTGTCCTTGAAGTTGATTGGTCCATACCCGAGACAGCTTTCTTTAGAGCCTAGTCTCACATTATCAGAGTTATGTTTTTTTTGCATTATGACTGCAGGTATTGTGGTCTATGCAAACATGACTCCTCGTAAAAAAGGTGTCAGTTCTGTTGCCAGATAAGAGGGTAAAAAAACAATTATCATACATTTTTACCTGCAAATGAGGTACCAATGGTGAATCTCCAGGTGGTCTCCAGAGCCCGGAGGCATCACTTCTCGTGGTGTTGTTGCAAATTCTCAGAAGTGTAAAACAAAAATGTTTTAAAGCACCCTGCCAAGGTTTGTCACGTACACAGAACGTGCCAGATCGTTTCTACTTTCAGTCCACACATCGGTCGGTGTGTTGGAGAGTGAACCCACGACAATTACAATGTGAGCAGCGTGGTGTTTCGCAAGCATCATTTGGGCGATTTTTTTTTGCTGCCAGAATTTATTTTTAAGGGATCTAACCGCACAGCAAAACAAAAACAATCCTTTTTTACGAATAATATTTGGCCGCGAAAAACCATACTACTTGTCAAACGTAAGGAATAGTTCCTGCCCCCCACCACCCCTCTCCCCCAAAGAGCACAATAGATAAAAGTGTGTGGAGTGGGCGGCGAAATTCGTGATGACAAAAAAAACATACGGGGATGCACATGTCATACACGCATGTCATACACACGTCATGCATACATACATACATGTGTACTGTCCTCCTTCCTCCCTGTGTGCATGCGGTGTGCGGCGCACACACTCATTCGGAGACGAGGTAGTTGCAGGAGCCACCGTCTCTCTATTTATTTACCCGTTCACCCCAACTCCGGCCTCCTCTCTCTCACGACCACGCTGCCATACGGCCCGGCCTAGACACGACCCTATCCGCGTTGCACGGAAGGCGTCGACCGAGACAGCCAACTACTGTCCGGCCGCGCAATGATCAGGCGAAGGTGGCAGCGATGAAGGCGGCGACAACGAGACGAGTCCAGCCCGGAGCTCTCGCTCTCCGCTGCTTTTATTCCCCTCGGCGCGGCTTGGCTCCGCCCTAGCCGCGCCTCCCTTCTCGAACCCACCAGAGGGTTCAAGGGGCCTCCCCACCCGGTCTACCATGACCCTTGCCCCCGTTCCTCCACCCTGCCGGCACACCCGTGTATATGCTCGACGGCGTGTGCGCTAACTGTCCACCGCATTTGCTGCTGCTGGACAGTAGTCAGCGCTGTGTAATACGGTATTCATTTCCCCGTAACTTTGCGAAATTGACATCTGCGGTCAATTGGATCGTGCTCTGCTGCTGCACTTACATAACAGCACACGATTATGGTCCAAAAGTTCTTGGACCTCCAGTTGATTAGCACCATACGCCTGCACGTAATTATTCTGTCCATTCATTGACCAGACGAGTATAGAGAACCACTTGCCCTCCAACAACGGACAATAAGACACTACTGTGATTGTCATACACTTCTCGCAACCGTCCTATAACTCTAAGGGCTAAAAGTAATGTGTTTTTTTGAATGGCATAACATGCCAAGATATGTACGTACAGAGACTTCTCTACTTACGAACATTCGACTTACGAACTTTCAGAAATACAAACAAACCTGGTCCGTTACGTTCAGTTGCAGAACGTGAAGAACCAGTGGAATATATGTCTTCAGAGCGTGAAGAACCAGTGGCCTCTACATCTGCAGAACGTGAAGAACCAGTGGCATCTACATCGGCAGAACATGAAGAACCAGTGACATCTACATCTACAGAACGTGAAGAACCAGTGGCATCTACATCGGCAGAACATGAAGAACCAGTGACATCTACATCTACAGAACGTGAAGAACCAGTGACATCTACATCTGCAGAACGTGAAGAACCAGTGGCATCTACATCTGCAGAACGTGAAGAACCAGTGGCATTTACATCTGCAGAACGTGAAGAACCAGTGGCATCTACATCTGCAGAACGTGAAGAACCAGTGGCATCTACATCTGCAGAACGTGAAGAACCAGTGGCATCTACATCTACAGAACGTGAATAACCAGTGGCATCTACATCGGCAGAACATGAAGAACCAGTGACATCTACACCTGCAGAACGTGAAGAACCAGTGGCATCTACATCTGCAGAACGTGAAGAACCAGTGGCATCTACATCTGCAGAACGTGAAGAACCAGTGGCATCTACATCTGCAGAACGTGAAGAACCAGTGGCATCTACATCTGAAGAACATGAAGAACCAGTGGCATCTACATCTGCAGAACGTGAAGAACCAGTGGCATCTACATCTGCAGAACGTGAAGAACCAGTGGCATCTACATCTGCAGAACGTGAAGAACCAGTGGCATCTACATCTGCAGAGCGTGAAGAACCAGTGGCATCTACATCTGCAGAGCGTGAAGAACCAGTGGCATCTACATCTGAAGAACGTGAAGAACCAGTGGCATCTACATCTGCAGAACATGAAGAACCAGTGGCATCTACATCTGCAGGAGATTATAAAACTTTTAAAGCCATTCCCCGTGTTTAGTGTCCACACCTTATAACATGTTTGGAATCGACAGGAGTTCATTTTCAAAAGTTTGGAGGAATTTAAATGTGCCAGTCTTTTGTATCCGTTACGCCCGGCCTCGTCCGTGCTGCTGTTATCTTCCAAATTTCTTATTCCCTCGTTTCAATCCAATTATTATTTGGTACATGTGTAATAAAGGACTCGACTACGGTATCTGGCTTGGTGTCCTTTATTCGGGTTCGCCTCCTCTTTCCCCACACGGCTCTCTCGCATAGACTCTCCGCTCTGCGGCCGACGCTGTTGTCGCTGCTGTAGCCTCTCTCTCCTTTCTCCAGCAGCCCCGCTGCTGGACTCTTCGGGCAGCCTCTCCGGCTGCTCCCGCTGCAGCCTCTCTGGCTGCTGTCTCTCCCTCTCGTAGGCAGCCCCGCTGCTGGTCCTCTCGGGCAGCCGCTCCGGCTGCTCTCGTTACAGCCCCCTCGGCTGCTCCTGGTTCCTCCGGGGTCGGTCACCGCTGGCCGACGGTGCCGACCGTACTCTGTGCGTGTGTGGCGATCTCGCCACCCCCAGCTCTCGCCCTGCGTGGCCCCACTCTAGCTCAGTCCTCGATCACTCCCCTCCTCTTCCGGTTTCTCCCCTTTAAGACCTGAACCCTTACCCCCACGTGACGTAACTCCTCCCCCTCGTGACGTCACATCCGGAAGGTCATTTACGCCCGCATTACACATGTGTAGAGGAGTAAAATGGGGACGTGACGTCATGTGTGCCGTCCAGTGCGAACACGTCGCGGAACGTGACGTCATGCGCGCTGGGCGGCTCGATGACGTCATGTCTCTAATTCTTAAGGGGGGACCCCGTGACGAACGCGGGGTCACTGTGGGAACACGTAAGAGTAGAAGGGTGAAGAGGGAATACATGACGTCACGCGATTTTGGACGATTTTTGACCCCCCCCCCTTCGTCATACGGCGTCACAAAAAGTCAGACCCTCCCCCCTCAAATATGACGTCACAAAGCTCTGCCCCCCCCCCCAAAAATAAAACATGCTTCAAATCGCTTTAAACTATTCTCATTGTAGTGCGCATTTAATGTGGCGCTGCACTCTGATGTTGTAGGAGAAAACATTTATTAAAAAGTTTATTTAATTAAGCAGAACGTGTTGTCTGTATTTATTTAAAGTTGCGCATTTTGATGTGACGTCACATTTCTCACCCCCTCCCCTCGTCACACATCTGACCCCCCTCCCCGCTAGGTGCGTGACGTCATTTATGGCCGGCCCCATACGCAGAAGCGACACGGATCGAATCGCCGGAGAACCGCAATTTCACCTCCTCTCGCGGATCGAATCGGTTGCCCAATGTCTGGATCGATTCAACCCCATCACGACCCCACGATACCGAACCTTCGGAATCGAAGTCGCCGACCATAAACACAAAGAGATTCTTGGATCGATTCCGCAGGCGGGGCTGAGAGGGGGGCGGGGCTGAGAGGGGGCGGGGCTGAGAGGGGGCGGGGCTGAGGGGGGGCGGGGCTGAGAGGGGGCGGGGCTGAGAGGGGGCGGGGCTGAGAGGGGGGCGGGGCTGAGAGGGGCGGGGCTGAGAGGGGGGCGGGGCTGAGAGGGAGGCGGGGCTGAGAGGGGGGCGGGGCTGAGAGGGGGCGGGGCTGAGAGGGGGCGGGGCTGAGAGGGGGCGGGGCCGAGAGGGGGCGGGGCTGAGAGGGGGCGGGGCTGAGAAGGGGGCGGGGCTGAGAGGGGGCGGGGCTGAGAGGGGGCGGGGCTGAGAGGGGGGCGGGGCTGAGAGGGGGGCGGGGCTGAGAGGGGCGGGGCGGAGAGGGGGCGGGGCTGAAAGGGGGCGGGGGGAGTTGCCCGGTGACGTCATCTGGGCGCCGTGTTCGTTGACGGCTCCGCCGGCTCGGCACAGTGCGGAGACAGTCGCAGGGTGAGTCGGTGGTGGTGGTGGTTGTGGTGGTGGTGGTGGTTGTGGTGGTGGTGGTGGTTGTGGTGGTGGTGGTGGTTGTGGTGGTGGTGGTGGTGGTTGGTTGTGGTGGTGGTGGTTGTGGTGGTGGTGGTGGTTGTGGTGGTAGTGGTAGTGGTGGTTGTGGTGGTGGTGGTGGTTGTGGTGGTGGTGGTTGTGGTGGTGGTGGTTGTGGTGGTGGTGGTGGTTGTGGTGGTTGTGGTGGTGGTGGTTGTGGTGGTTGTGGTGGTGGTGGGTGGTGGTGGGTGTTGGTGGTTAGTGGTAGTGGGTGGTGGTGGTGGTGATCTCGCGGTTAATTGGCCACGGGTCGTCGCGGGCTTCAGTTAGTAGTGGCCTGTGTGTGTGTGTGTACCTGTGTGTGTGTACGTGTGGGTGTACCTGTTTGTGTACGTGTGTGTACCTGTGTGTGTGTACCTGTGTGTGTGTGTACCTGTGGGTGTGTGTACCTGTGTGTGTACCTGTGTGTGTACCTGTGTGTGTGTACCTGTGTGTGTGTACCTGTGTGTACGTGTGTGTGTACCTGTGTGTGTAACCTGTGTGTGTACCTGTGTGTGTGTACCTGTGTGTGTGTACCTGTGTGTGTGTACCTGTGTGTGTACGTGTGGGTGTGTACCTGTGTGTGTACCTGTGTGTGTGTGTACCTATGTGTGTGTACCTGTGTTTAATTCGTGGTTTAGTGGTAATGAATTGAAGGTGGAGGGGTTACCAGCCCCTCACACCCGTCCAGAGCCCCCGTTTAGCCACTGTGGTGGTCACAGACGCCATGAGGGGAGAGGCCAATGGGCATTGGCCCTCCCCCCACATCACTGCCCACGACAGTGTTGCCCGTCCGGCACCGCGAGGAGGTTGGCCTGCCTACGATCCATCCTGGGTTTAACCAGGCTGGATTGTGTGAGGAGCTCACAAATCCTTGAAAGATCTGGGCAAGGTCCCATCAGTGAGCTCCTCCGGCAGGCAAGGCTGCGTTGGCTGGGTCATGTAGCCCGCATGCCCAGCCACCGCATGCCTCAACAGCTTCTGTTCGGCCGGATCGAGGGGGCTAAACGGGCGCGGCACGGGCTAGAGAAGAGATGGAGTGATGTGGTACAGGAGGACGTGGAGCTGAGTGGACTTGCCGATGACTGGTACCAGCGGTGTCAAGATCGGCCTCAGTGGAGGAGGCTCGTGAAGGACGCTACTGGGCAGTTGGAGGCAGTCGCCCTCCAACAACAACGGAGGGCGGAGGAGCGACGCTCACAACAACGAGCGGAGCGCCGGGTGGCTAAAGCACAGCAAGTTGGCACAGTAGGGGGCACAGGTGGTGCATCAGCCAGTCATCTCGGTCATCTCGGTCAGTCGACCAGTGGCACCTGGGTCTGCCCCGTGACCTCCTGCCAGCGGGCTTTCGACACTTCACGTGGCCTCAAGGTGCACTTGGCCTGGCACAAGCATCGTGGTGACGTCACCGCCACTTAGTGGCGAATGGCGGTTGTTGTTGTACCTGTGTGTGTGTGTGTGGGGAGCGGTAGTGTAGCTGTTAGCGCTACCCTGCACTACAAAACCGACCACCCGAGTTCAATTCCCGCTCACGGCCACCACCAGTGGCAATTACCTGAACCGGTCCTGCGCCTCCCCTAGGTCGACTCAGCCTCAAATGAGTACCCGGTGCGGTGTGTAAAAATCGTCACTGGGGAGACAAAGGCGGTCGGGCGTGGTGCTGGCCACCCACCCCCTCGTGTGCCACAGTGCCGGCCTTCATAGGTGCTCGCTAACAGCACTTGCCCCTACAGTCTGTTAAGGCTACACGGGGGACCTTTATCTTTGTGTGTGTGTGCAGCACTGGGAAGGCGAGTTTATTATCATCAGCAGCAGCATGAAGTTCACGATCACCATTGTTCGACAGTAAGCGACGCACAATCATCGCACTACACACAGTACACACAGTACATGCTGTATACACAGTACACACAGTACATACTGTATACACAGTACATGCTGTACACACAGTACACACAGTACATGCTGTACATGCTGTATACACAGTACACACAGTACATGCTGTATACACAGTACACACAGTACACACAGTACAAACAGTACATGCTGTACACACAGTACACACAGTACATGCTGTATACACAGTACACACAGTACATGCTGTATACACAGTACACACAGTACATGCTGTATACACAGTACACACAGTACATGCTGTATACACAGTACACACAGTACACACAGTACAAACAGTACATGCTGTACACACAGTACAAACAGTACATGCTGTATACACAGTACACACAGTACATGCTGTATACACAGTACACACAGTACACACAGTACATGCTGTATACACAGTACACACAGTACATGCTGTATACACAGTACACACAGTACATACTGTATACACAGTACACACAGTACATGCTGTACACACAGTACACACAGTACATGCTGTATACACAGTACACACAGTACACACAGTACAAACAGTACATGCTGTACACACAGTACAAACAGTACATGCTGTATACACAGTACACACAGTACATGCTGTATACACAGTACACACAGTACACACAGTACATGCTGTATACACAGTACACACAGTACATGCTGTATACACAGTACACACAGTACATACTGTATACACAGTACACACAGTACATGCTGTACACACAGTACACACAGTACATGCTGTACACACAGTACACACAGTACATGCTGTACATGCTGTATACACAGTACACACAGTACATGCTGTATACACAGTACACACAGTACATGCTGTACATGCTGTATACACAGTACACACAGTACATGCTGTACATGCTGTATACACAGTACACACAGTACATGCTGTATACACAGTACACACAGTACATGCTGTATACACAGTACACACAGTACATGCTGTACACACAGTACACACAGTACATGCAGCACACACAGCACACACAGTATACGCAGCACACGCAGTGCAGTGTATGCCTTACACACTGTACGTACAGTACAGTGTATGCATTACATACAGTACGTACAGTGTATGCATTACCTACAATACATACAGTACAGTGTATGCATTGCACACAGTACGTACAGTACAGTGCATTCATTACACACAGTACGTACAGTACCCACTGCGTGTACTGTGCACACTGCAGTACACACTGCACGTGCAGTACGCACTGCGTGCACCACAGCAAAGTGCATGCAGTACACACAGAGTACATGCACCACGCTACACAACAGTATACACAGTACAAACTACACACCGCACACGTAATCACAGGCGTTGCACACAATACGTACAACCGCAGTACACACAGTACATCCACCACAGTACACAGTACATCCACCACAGTACACAGTACATCCACCACAGTACACAGTACATCCACCACAGTACACAGTACATCCACCACAGTACACAGTACATCCACCACAGTACACAGTACACCCACCACAGTACACAGTACATCCACCACAGTACACAGTACATCCACCACAGTACACAGTACATCCACCACAGTACACAGTACATCCACCACAGTACACAGTACATCCACCACAGTACACAGTACATCCACCACAGTACACAGTACATCCACCACAGTACACAGTACATCCACCACAGTACACAGTACATCCACCACAGTACACAGTACATCCACCACAGTACACAGTACATCCACCACAGTACACAGTACATCCACCACAGTACACAGTACATCCACCACAGTACACAGTACATCCACCACAGTACACAGTACATCCACCACAGTACACAGTACATCCACCACAGTACACAGTACATCCACCACAGTACACAGTACATCCACCACAGTACACAGTACATCCACCACAGTACACAGTACATACACCGCAGTACACAGTACATCCACCACAGTACACAGTACATCCACCACAGTACACAGTACATACACCACAGTACACAGTACATCCACCGCAGTACACAGTACATACACCACAGTACACAGTACATCCACCGCAGTACACAGTACATCCACCACAGTACACAGTACATCCACCACAGTACACAGTACATCACCACAGTACACAGTACATCCACCACAGTACACAGTACATCCACCACAGTACACAGTACATCCACCACAGTACACAGTACATACACCGCAGTACACAGTACATCCACCACAGTACACAGTACATCCACCACAGTACACAGTACATCACCACAGTACACAGTACATCACCACAGTACACAGTACATCCACTACAGTACACAGTACATACACCGCAGTACACAGTACATCCACCGCAGTACACAGTACATCCACCACAGTACACAGTACATCCACCACAGTACACAGTACATCACCACAGTACACAGTACATCCACCACAGTACACGGTACATCCACCACAGTACACAGTACATACACCACAGTACACAGTACATACACCGCAGTACACAGTACATCCACCACAGTACACAGTACATCCACCACAGTACATGCGGTACACACATGAAAGTACAGCGGGTCTTCGCCTGGTATGATGGGAGATGGTTTAGTGTTGTGTTTGTTTGTGTTTGTGTGCTTTGTTTACCTTTCTTGCACTTTGCACGGCCGTCGTGTTTGTGTACTGTTTGTTGTTGTAACGATCTTAGCCCGTGCCTCTATGATGAAGAGCTTTCCAGCTCATCGGATTCCTCGTGCAGTTGAAATATTCTGATCCTGATTCTCTTGGCGTGCCTGTCTGTCTGCCTCAACAATTATTTCTCCCTCCCGTTACCTGCCAAGTAAACCCACAGGACTGCCTGCTTCTAGATTTGAAGCTTTCGTGACTTGCAAGGATTCATACTCTTTGGTTTTTTCGGTAAAGTCACGTAGGTAAAACAATAAAATAAAATAAATGAAAACAACTAAATAAAATCACGATGAAGGAAGCTTGTGTTGCCTCCGAAACGTCGTGATTTAATTTAGTTGTTTTCGTTTATTTTATTTTATTGATTGTTTTACCTACGTGACTTTACCGAAACCAAAGAGTATGACTCTCTGCTTGTCCGCCAGAGGTCGCAGATGGGTACCCGATACCCGTACCCTACCCGATACCCGGCTACCCGTTTGCGACCCTGGTGTGGCCGGGTACGGGTAGCCGGGTAGGCCGTGAGTCACTGGTGAGTAACCGTTTGTCACTCATTTCCCAACGTCTTGTCTCTTCTCACAATTCAAGTTCCTAGAATCAACCCACCCGCGCCTGCAACATGGCTTCATCCCAGAGGTCTCAATCAGGTACCCGATACCCGTACCCTACCCGGCCGGGTACGGGTAGGGTATGGGTAGGGTACGGGTACGGCCGGGTACGGGTACCCGTTTGCGACCCTGGTGCGGCCGGGTATGGGTAAGGAATCAAAACCCGTTTGCGACCTCTGTTGTCCGCTCACGTACAGGAGTGCCGGTCTCTCTCGCTGTCCGCAAATCTGCCTATCTGTCCACGTCGTATGTGTCTACCTTCCTGGATATATATAATGTCTGTCCGCCTGTCTGACCAAATAGTCTCTCAGCCTGCCCGTCTGTCCCACATACTTTTCTACAGTAAAAACCTTGGATTAGCGAGCATAATTCGTTCCGGAAACATGTTCGGAATCCAAAGCACTCGTACATCGAAGCGAATTTCCCCGTAAGAAATAATGGAAACTCGGATGATTCGTTCCACAACCCCAAAAATACTGTGTTCATATAAAAATGATTAATACAAAATAACTTTTTTATATTTTCATTATTTAAATTTAATATAAAGAAATCAAATTTATTGATTACATTTAATCGTGGCTGGTGTGAGGGAGACGAGAGAGAGTTGAGGAGCGTTTTTATTTTATTTTACTTTTATTAATTTTAATTTTTTACCTACGTGACTTTACCGAAAAAACCTAAGAATATGAATCCTTGCAGTCACGAAAGCTTCAAATCTAGAATTGAGGAGGGTTATTGTGTTGGACGACTTTCACTTGAAGTATAGTTACTAAAGAACAGCCGCTACACTTGGACACAAAATAAAAATAAATGCTTTACGCACACACACGTGGTCACAACACTATATTGTAGTAAACAGTGTACGCTCGCACGGATGTTGACTATACGAGTGAGGCACGCCGACTGAGACCGAGCATGGGAGACGATTACCCACAATCCCGCAGCGAGAGAGATAGAGAGACGAACCATCTGCTCAGTTGTGATCACGTGACGCTCGGCAGACAAAGCGTAGACTGCACGTACTGCTCGTATTGCAAGACCTCGCTCGTTTATCAAGTTAAAATTATCTTATTGGTTCTTTCGGTAAAGTCTACGTGACTTTTACCGAAAGAATCAAGAAGATGAACCCCTGCAGTCACGAAAGCTTTAAATCGAAAGTTAAAATTAATTACAAATTTTTGCTCGTCTTGCAAAACACTCACAGATTAAGTTACTCGCAATCCAAGGTTTTACTGTAGTTGCCCACATGCACGCCTGCCTGTGTACCTCACCGTCGGGAAAGTACCTGGTGCGGTGGTGTGTAAACAATCGCCACTGGGGAGACAAATGCGGCCGGGCGTGGGGCTGTCCACACCCCCAAACCCCCAAGTGTGCCACAGTGCCGGCCTTCATAGGCGCTGCTGCTCGCTAACAGCACTTGCCTCGAAACATCTGTTAAGGCTATACGGGGGGGGGGGATGTTGTACCTGTAGTAGGGAGCGGTGGCGCAGCGGTTATGCTAGCCGCGCTTCTAACCCGGCGGTCAACGCCACTGACGATTATCACCGAGGTCGACTCAGCCTCACTGGGGGCGATCTTTGTCTTTGTGTCTCTTGCAGTGGCGAGACCACGTACAACAGGAAGCGTCTCATCCAAGGTACGTGGTTTGTAGGCAGTGTCGGGGAAGCTCTGTCACCGTTATTTTATTTTATCTATATATATATAAAAGGGAAATGTGTGAATATGTGTGTCTGTTCGAAATGTTTAGCATACTTTCCGACATGCAACAAACTTTAAATTTAGCTTGTGGGTAGTTTCCAGACTGTACACAATGCAAACATTATAAAAATAGACTTTTGTATTTTTTGGGGGGGGGAGTAGGGGCGCAATAATGGGTATATTTTGCACGGCAAGTGAGCGGTGACGTCGCATCTGTGATGTCATCCGCACGCGGCTGCGTCACGCAGTGTGCCTGCTGACGTCACGCACCCCCCCCCCCTTATCAATCCAAGACAAAAATCCAAGTCTCGTGCGAAGCCGGGTAGTCAAGCTAGTTGATTATAAGGCATCTCTGGGAATGAAAGATACACAACCATAACTTGTCTTTAGCGCTCTCGTGTACACATCTGGGCCTCAGACACGGCTACTGGATAATAAGATGCACCCCACCCACCACCCCCTCCCCACCACCCACCCCATAACCCACACCACCCACACCACCATATGGGTCTCTAATTATCAGTTGAATCTGCTGCTGCTGCGTTGGCAGTGGTGCACAAGCACAAAAATAACAACACGACACCGCACCTCCGATTAGCATGGTTTGGCTACGTACGGTGCGAAAAAGTTCATACGTATTTAAACTCACATAGAGACCCATAGACTTCACAGAGACCCATAGACTCACACAGAGACCCATAGACTCGCACAGAGACACATACACTCATACAGAGACCCATAGACTCACACAGAGACCCATAGACTCGCACAGAAACACATAGACTCACACGGAGACCCACAGACTCTCGCAGAGACCCATATACTCGCACAGAGACCCATAGACTCGCACAGAGACCCACAGACTCGCACAGAGACCCATAGACTTCACAGAGACCCATAGACAGAGGTGGGACAAAGTCATTGTTATGCAAGTCCAAGTCGAGTCTCAAGTCATCAAATTCATGACTCGAGTCTGACTCGAGTCCAAGTCACATGACTCGAGTCCACACCTCAGAGGTGGGACAAAGTCATTGTTATGCAAGTCCAAGTCGAGTCTCAAGTCATCAAATTCATGACTCGAGTCTGACTCGAGTCCAAGTCACATGACTCGAGTCCACACCTCTGCCCATAGACTCACACAGAGACCCATATACTCGCACAGAGACCCATAGACTCACACAGAGACCCACAGACTCACACAGAGACCCACATACTCACACAGAGACCCACATACTCACACAGAGACCCACATACTCACACAGAGACCCATAGACTCACACAGAGACCCACAGACTCACACAGAGACCCACAGACTCACACAGAGACCCATAGACTCACACAGAGACCCACAGACTCTCACAGAGACCCATATACTCCCACAGAGACCCATATACTCCCACAGAGACCCATAGACTCACACAGAGACCCACAGACTCGCACAGAGACCCATAGTTTATTGTCGTTCACGTGTACCTCCGATTTAAACGGTTTGGCTACGTATGGTGCGAAAGAAGTTCAACGCACACATACATATACATACACACATACATAACACACATACATACACACATACATAACACACATACATATACATACACACATATACAAGGAGTGACATTCCAGGCGACGGCCATTCATGGCCCATAAAACTTACTAGCATTTATGCGCTTCGAAAAAGGAACCACTGCTCAAAACGTCGCCGATTTTAGATATATTTTATACTTTTCAGGCCACACACACACACACACGTGCGGCGGTGTTATCGGCACACGTGTCAAGGGATTTTAAACGACCCGCCGCGCCTGTGATCGAAAGTTGCATTTAAAAAAAAACTAATGTAAAATCGCTCGCTCGCCATCGGCCATCTTTGCGCCCCCCCCCCCTCCCCCCCCGGCTGTGGATAAAAGGCATCCGCTAAGAATATCCCCGACTCGGGCTTGTGACCACGTGGCCTGGGTGGTGGTGGTGGTGCAGCGGTGTCGTGTTTACAGCAGCTTGGATAACCCCCCCCCCCACCAGAGGGCTCGGAATAGAAGGAGCGGTGGGGCGAAATCGGTGAGGGAGGAATTGAGTTGGTTGCGGGGGGGGGGGGAGTTGAGGGAGGGGGAGTTGAGTGGGGTGGGGGAGTTGAGTGGGGGGGGAGGAGTTGAGTGGGGGGTGGGGAGTTGGGTGGGGGGATGTGAGTTGAGTGGGGTGGGGGAGTCGAGTGGGGGGGGAGGAGTTGGGTGGGGGGTGGGGAGTTGGGTGGGGGGCGGGGAGTCGAGTGGGGGGCGGGGAGTCGAGTGGGGGGTGAGGAGTTGAGTGGGGGGTGGGGAGTTGGGTGGGGTGAGTTGAGTGGGGGGTGGGAGGGAGTCGAGTGGGGGGCGGGGAGTCGAGTGGGGGGTGAGGAGTTGAGTGGGGGGTGGGGAGTTGGGTGGGGTGAGTTGAGTGGGGGGTGGGGGGGAGTCGAGTGGGGGGTGGGGAGTCGAGTGGGGGGGGAGGAAGTTGGGGGGGGGGGGTTGGGGTGTGGAGGGGGAGCTGGGTGGGGGGAAGTTGGGTGGGAGGGTAGAGAGTTAGGGGGGTGGTGAGTTGGGGGGGGGGAGTGGGAAGTTGGAGAGGGTGGGGAGTTGGGTGGGGGGAGTTGGTGGGGGGGTAGAGAGTTAGGGGGGGTGGTGAGTTGGAGGGAGTGGGGAGTTGGGGGGGGGGGGAGTTGGGTGAAGGGGTATGGATTTGGGGGGGGTAGGGAGTTGTGGGGGTGTGTAGTTGGGGGGGGTGGCGGAGTTGGTGGGGAAGGAGTTGGGCAATTGGGGGGGGGGGGGGGAGAGAAGGGGGGGGGGGGGCCGTCACCGAGGTTCTCTCAGCCCAAGCAGTGCCCGATTTAGACGTCGGCCCGACCCGAGGTTGCCACCTTCCCGTGATGCAAAAAAAATCACCGAGGGGGGCGGTGGCGGTGGCGGTGGGGGGGGGACACATCGTGGGAAGCAGCAGAACGAGGAGAACATCTCACGATACCGGCGAGAGGCGGAGGAGCCAAACTTGATGAATCCCATCGGTTACCCCCCCCCTCTCCCAAACCCGACGAAAGCGTGGGTTTGTAGCAGAGGTCACAACCGGGTACCCGATACCTGTACCCTACCCGATACCCGTACCGTACCTGATACCCGGCTACCCGTACCCAGCCGGGTACGGGTAGCCGTTTGCGACCCTGGTGCGGCCGGGTACGGGTAAGGAATCAAAACCCATATAGTAGTAGGTTTTTACCCTTTCAACTGGTACAAAACTGACACCTTTATACAAGGCATCATGTTTGCAATAACCACAACACAAGCAGTCAAAATGCAAACATTACCATCATCAGAGTTGTTTCTTTTTGTTTGCATTTTGACTGCTTGTGTTGTGGTTATTGCAAACATGATTGCTTGTATAAAGGTGTCAGTTTGTGTACCAGTTGAAAGGGTAAAAACCTACTACTATATTTTGCCACTGGTAAAGGAGATGTCTCATAGTGAATCAAAACCCGTTTGCGACCTCTGGTTTGTAGACGTTCCCGGGCAATCGCCGACGGCTTCGGTGCAGGTTGGAGATGCCGCCACGAAATGTTTGGCGCGGTCCTGGGGGTGACAGCGAGGACGTGTGGCAACTCCTAGGCGCGACGGCTCCGGGTGGCTTCAGTCTTCTATGGGGCCGTCCATAAATGACGTCACTCACCTAGGGGGGGGAGGGGGGGTCAGATTTGTGACGATGTGTGACGATGGGGGGGGGGGGTTTAGAAATGTGACGTTACGTAAAAATGCGCAACTTTAAATAAATATAGACAACACGTTCCACTTAATTAAATAAACTTTTTAATAAATGTTTTCTCCTACAACATCAGAGTGCAGCGCCACATTAAATACGCACTACAATGACAATCGTTTAAAGCGATTTGAAGCATGTTTATTTTTTTTGGGGGGGGGGGGCAGAGCTTTGTGACATCATAGTTGAGGGGGGGGGTCTGACTTTTTGTGACGCCGTGTGACTAAGGGGGGGGGGTCTAAAATCGTCCAAAATCGCGTGACGTCATTTATGGACGGCCCCTAAAGCCTATTCTTTCCCCCCCCCCATCACAATCTTATCCACATATACAATTGCAACAAGAGTCCGCTCAAAGGCTCACACGGTTGGGGATCTCTGCCTTATTCTTAGGTTTTTTCGGTAAAGTAACGTAGGTAAAAAATTCAAAGTAAAATTTATAAAAGTAAAATAAAAATAAAATAAAAATCACGACGTTTCGGAGGCAACACAAGCGTCCGTCTTCAGGTGGAACCGTCACAGCACGACAGCTGTATCAAGTAAGATAAATTCCAAGAAAACAGTCCTTACCAATAGGGGTTTTCCCCTTTTTTCTGGCAACAAAACTGACACCTTTTGCAAGGAATCATGTCTACATTAACCGCAATACTTGCAGTCAAATGCAGTCCTTGTACATATACTGTTTGAGCGTGGGAGGAGCCAAGGTAGGCACCTGAATATTATTTTTGTGAGGTTCGGTGCGGCTGAAGCACGCTGTTAGGAATGAGCCTTTGTTGTGTGAACTATGTGCGGCTGATGTAAAGGTGCCTTGTTGGTGGTGCAGGCCAGGGCATCAACATGCCCCTGTCGGACGTGGGCTTCGAGCAAGCGGCAGCTGTCGGCGCTGCCCTGCAGCACGTTCCCTTCACCTGCGTCTACAGCAGTGACCAGCTGCGGGCGCAGCAGGTGAGCCGGGTGGGGTGGGGTGGGGTTGGAGGTTGGGTGGGGTGGGGTTGGGTGGGGTGGGGTTGGGTTGGGTGGGTTAGGGTTGGGTGGGGTTGGGTTGGAGGTTGGGTTGGGTGGGGTGGGGTTGGGTTGGGTGGGTTAGGGTTGGGTGGGGTGGGGTTGGAGGTTGGGTGGGGTGGGGTTGGAGGTTGGGTTGGGTGGGTTGGGGTTGGGTGGGGTGGAGGTTGGGTGGGGTGGGGGTGGGTGGGGTGGGGTGGGTTTGGAGGTTGGGTGGGGTGGAGGTTGGGTGGGGTGGGGTTGGAGGTTGGGTGGGGTGGGGTTGGAGGTTGGGGTGGGGGTGCCGTCGGGTTTGGTGGGTTGGGTGGGGTGGGGTTGGAGGTTTGGGTGGGGGTGCGGTGGGATTGGGTGGAGTTGGAGGTGGGGTGGGGTGGGGTGGGGTGGGGGTGGGGGGTGGGGTGGGGTGGGGTGGGGTGGGGGGTGGGGTGGGGTGGGGTGGGGTGGGGTGGGATTGGGTGGGGTGGGGTTGGAGGTGGGGTGGGGGTGGGGTGGGGTGGGGTGGGGTGGGATTGGAGGTGGGGTGGGGGTGGGGTGGGGTTGGAGGTGGGGTGGGGTGGGGGTGGGGTGGGGTGGGGTTGGGGTGGAGTTGGGGTGGAGTTGGGGTGAGGTTGCGGTGGGGGGTGGGGTTGGAGGTGGGGTGGGGGTGTCCTCCTGCAAAATAAAATCAACATACGTGGGGTGGGGTGGAGGTGGTTTGGAGGTGGGGGGGGGAGCCTTTCCCCCTCACCTCTGATTATCAGGGTGGCTACATACGGTGCGAAAGAAGTTCAACGTCCATACAGCTCTCCCGTCGGCATCCGTACCTGCTCGTAAAATAGTTCTGAACACAACCGCGCCTAAAATATACCACGTAATCCATGCGTAGGCGTGGTTTTTCTTACTTGCAAATCATCGACCGAGCCAGTTGCCCTTTCCCGAGGGACGCGCTGCAAGGCTCCCTGGGCCCAGGGGTGACCAGAGCCATGCAGAGCAACGTCGCACATCCGACCATCACGGTCGGCGCTACGGCGGTCAGGAGGATTGTGGGTTCGATCCCAACCCTGACACTTGTATATTTGGAGTTTGCATGTCCTCTCTCCCCGTGATCACGTGGAATATTCTCCGGATCCTCCGATTTTGTCCCTCCACGCTTACAAACAAGCATTTTAGAGTATTTTGACTGCTATCATTTGTGGCCCAAGTCGCTTCTGCAAAAGAGCTACATAGCTCAGTGGTAAAATAAAAAAATATTGTTTTAATTTTTCTTGGTTCTTTCGGTAAAGTCACGTAGAAGGGAAATAATAACATAATAAAAATAAAACATAATAAAATAATTCTCACGACGTTTCGGCCACAACGCAAGCAGCCATCCTCAGTTGTGGTCGAAACGTCGTGAGAATTATTTTATTGTTTGATTTTTATTATTTTTTTATATCCATTCTACGTGACTTTAACGAAAGAACCAAGAAAATGAATCCCTGCAGTCACGAAAGCTTTAAATCGAAATATAGTTTTAGTTTTTAACAGGATAACTGCCTCTGCCTGCCGCGTGTTGCTGTCCGCGACCCCCGTGCGTCACGTGGTTCGTGGTCTAGACGGCAGAGGAGATCCTGAAGCGGAACCATCACTGCCGGGACCACCCACTGCAGCGTGAGGAGCGCCTGCGCGAGAGGGCAAGTTTCCCTGCCGACACCGCCGCCACTGCCGCCACCACCGTGCCGCCACTGCTGTCCGTTGATAATGGCCCCAGGGTGGTAACTGCTCGGAGAGAGACACGTCGACAACCAGGGCTAGATGCATCACCTCTGCATCGCTGGTTCGGTGTCTATCACACAGCTATTATGAATCGGAGGGAGGAAACCTTCCCATCTCAGGGCTTGAACTCGTGTTCTCAGCAGTGCTGGAACAGCGCTTGTGCCAAGGGCATCATGAACCCTCTCCCCCCTCCACCCCACGAGTGATTTAGAGAGAGACGCCCAGACCCAGGACTCGACCCCACGCGCTCAGCGTTGCTGGTTCCGTGTGTCTACGTGCCGGTGTGATTCCGCGTGTCCCGCGTGTGTGTGTATGTACGTGCGTGTGTGTGCATTTGGGAGCAGTAGCGTAGCGGTTAGCGTGCTGCGCTACAAACCTGGCAAACCCGGGTTCGATTCCCGCTCACGGCCACCAACGACGGTGACTCGTATCTGAACCAGCCCTGGGCCTCCCCTAGGTCGACTCAAATGAGTACCTGGTGCCATGTGTAGCAGAGGTCGCAATCGGGTACCCGATATCCGTACCCTACCCGATACCCGGCTACCCGTACCCGGCCGGGTACGGGTACGGTTGGCCGTTCGCGACCCTGGTGCGGCCGGGTACGGGTACGGGTAGGCCGTGAGTCACTGGTGAGTAACCATTTGTCACTCATTTCGGGTAGGGTACGGGTAGGGAACGGGAACCCGTACCCGGCCGGGTACGGGTACCCATTTGCGACCCTGGTGCGGCCGGGTACGGGTAAGGAATAAAAACCCGTTTGCGACCTCAGATGTGTAATAAACATCGCCGTTGGGGAGACAAAGGCGGTTGGGCGTGGTGCTGGCCACCCACCATCTTGTGTGCCCCAACAGTCTGTTAAAGGCTACACGGGGGTGAATCGTTCTCTTTGTGCAGTCCTTCGGAGCGTCGGAGGGCTGCAGCGTGGATCAGCTCAGAGCCCTGGCCAAGGAAGCCGGGCAGCGGTGTCCCCACTTCACGCCGCCTGGGGGAGAGACCCTGGAGCAGGTGAGGGGGTCACCTCCACGCAGTGTCACCAAACTGACGGCTGGCCCACACCTGCACCTCATCGCCATGGTGCGCGTCTCGTCGCCACGGCTTCGTAGCCATGGCGACGAGGCGCCCCAGACCCGGGGCTCGAACCTGGGATTTCAGCGGTGCGAGATGTTAACCACCTCGCCTGGTATGCAGGAGGTCGTGGGTTCGATCCCGTCCCTGACGCCTGCTGCTGTATATTTGGAGTTTGCGTCTCTCTCGTCATCACGGTGGCTAGGAGATGTTAACCACCTCGCCTGGTGTACAGGAGGTCGTGGGTTCGATCCCGTCCCTGACGCCTGCTGCTGTATATTTGGAGTTTGCATCTCTCATCATCATCACGGTGGCTAGGAGATGTTAACCACCTCGCCTGGTATGCAGGAGATCGTGGGTTCGATCCCGTCCCTGACGCCTGCTGCTGTATATTTGAAGTTTGCATCTCTCATCTCCATCACGGTGGCTAGGAGATGTTAACTACCTCGCCTGGTACACAGGAGGTCGTGGGTTCGATCCCGTCCCTGACGCCTGCTGCTGTATATTTGGAGTTTGCGTGTCTCCCCGTCGTTGCGTGGATTTTTTCTCCGGGTCCTCCGGTTTTTCCCTCCACACTCATAAACACGCGTTTAGAGTGTTTGGCTGCTCTAAATTTGCACGTGTTGTTAGGTCACTTCGTTTAGCTATCATTGTTGACGGCCAGCTAGCTTCTGAACAAGAGCTACGTAGTTAGAAGTTAAAGAAAAATTAAACAAATCACGACGTTTCGATCGCAACACAAGCAATCTTCATCAGAATAACCCTATCGAAAATGAAGTATTGAGGAAAATGACTCCCACCGAGATCGCAAAATTCCCTAAGGCCAATGTGACCCCTCCCCCCAACCCCCATCGATTCCCACTCACGGCCAACATCAGTGGCAAAATATCTGAACTGCTGCTTGGGCCCCCTCCCCCTTAGGCTCGACTCGGTCTTTAAATGAGTAGCTGGTGCGGTGCGAACACATCGGCAAAATCGGGGAGGCAAAGGGTGGTGGCACCGTCCGCTCGAGCGCCATGCCGCGCTCGCTAACAGCACTTGCCCCGAGCAGCAGCAGCAGCCTGTTAAGAGCCTACACGGGTGCGTGGGGGACCTTTGCATTTTTCTTTGCTTCGTCACCGCAGCTCAAGACGCGTCTGGTGGATTTCTTCCTCGAGCTCTGCTCGCTGATGGCCTCCCGGCGCGCGGAGACGTGCAACGGCATCAAGCCCTCGGATTGCCGGGCAGGTACGGCCACAGGCACACGCGGCATAGCCACCGCCACCACCGCCACCACTGCCACCACTACCCACCGCCACCACCACTGCTACCACCACCGCCACCACTACCCACCGCCACCACTGCTACCACCACCGCCACCACTACCCACCGCCACCACTGCCACCACTGCCACCACTGCTACCACCACCGCCACCACTACCCACCGCCACCACTGCCACCACTGCTACCACCACCGCCACCACTACCCACCGCCACCACCACCACTGCTACCACCAACGCCACCACTACCCACCGCCACCACTGCCACCACTGCTACCACCACCGCCACCACTGCCACCACTACCCACCGCCACCACCACTGCTACCACCACCACCACCACTACCCACTGCCACCACTGCTACCACCACCGCCACCACTGCCACCACTACCCACCGCCGCCACCACCACCACTGCTACCACCACCGCCACCACTACCCACCACCACCACTGCCACCACTGCTACCACCACCGCCACCACTACCCACCGCCACCACCACCACTGCTACCACCAACGCCACCACTACCCACCGCCACCACTGCCACCACTACTACCACCACCGCCACCACCACCACTACCCACCGCCACCACCACTGCTACCACCACCGCCACCACTACCCACTGCCACCACTGCTACCACCACCGCCACCACTGCCACCACTACCCACCGCCATCACCACCACTGCTACCACCACCGCCACCACTACCCACCGCCACCACTGCCACCACTGCTACCACCACCGCCACCACTACCCACCGCCACCACCACCACTGCTACCACCACCGCCACCACTACCCACCGCCACCACTGCCACCACCACTGCCATCACCGCGGTGGTAACGGTGATGGTGGTGACAGGGCTATACCTAATAAATAAACTGAAACTGATATTGGGGGAGCAATGGTGTGGCGGCCAGCGGCACTGCGCTACGAACCCGGCGACCCGAGTTGGATTCCCGCTCACGGCCACCAGCACCGGTGACGATTATCTGTACCGGTCCTGGGCCTCCCCTAGCGCGATGCGGCCTCAAATGAGTACCTGGTGCGGTGTGTAAACATCGTCACTGGGGAGTCAAGGGTGACCCACCCCCTCGTGCGCCGTGCCGGCCTTCATAGGTGCTCGCTATAAGCACTTGCCCCAACAGTCTGTTGATGCTATGAGAGAGGTCTTTGTCTTCATTGTTAGTGGTGGTGGTGATGATGGTAATAGTGATGGTAATGGCAGTAAAGGTAGTGGGAGTGATAATAATCATTGTTGATATGCTTGTTTACCCAGGAAAGCCTCACGGGGTCTCATGACTGTGCTCGGTATTTATAGCAGCGTGCGACCGTGAGAGCGTTCGTTGTATATTTGGAGTTTGCATCTTCTCTTTCTCTCATCTTCACGGTGGCTAGGAGATGTTAACTACCACGCCTGGTATACAGGAGGTCGTGGGTTCGATCCCGACCCTTGACACCTGTTGTATATTTGGAGTTTGCATTTTCTCTTTCTCTCATCATCATCATCACAGTGGCTAGATGTTAACTACCTCGCCTGGTATACAGGAGGTCGTGGGTTCGATCCCGACCCTGACGCCTGCTGTATATTTGGAGTTTGCATTTTCTCTTTCTTTCATCATCATCACGGTGGCTAGATGTTAACTACCTCACCTGGTATACAGGAGGTCGTGGGTTCGATCATGACCCTGACACCTGTTGTATATTTGGAGTTTGCATTTTCTCTTTCTCTCATCATCATCATCACGGTGGCTAGGAGATGTTAACTACTTAGCCTGGTATACAGGTCGTGGGTTCGATCACGACCCTGACACCTGTTGAATATTTGGAGTTTGCATTTTCTCTTTCTCTCATCACGGTAGCTAGTAGATGTTAACTACCTCGCCTGGTGTACAGGAGGTCGTGGGTTCGATCCGTGGCTTGTGGATTTTTCTCCGGTTTTTCCCCCTCCACTTTAAGAATCAAAATCACGCGTTTTAGAGGATTTGGCTGCTATCAATGTCTCACACGATCAGCCACTTCGTTGAGATATAATTTGTGATAGCCAGGCCGCTCCTGCAAAAACAGCTACGCAGCTCAGCGGGGCGTCACCTAGTTACAATAAAAATAAAATATTTAAAAATATTTAAAAAAAAAACACGCTTTAATGAAATGTACTGTCCGAGCTGCCCCTCCCCCTGCCCCCTTCCCCCATCGCCCCTCCCCTTCTTCCACATCCCCCGCCCCTCGGCGTGGCTCCCCGAGGCTTGCCGTGACGTAAGGGACCACGTGGTGATTTACAGACAACGTGAGTTGAGCGTGGACAATTAGAGCCGTACAAAAGATCGTTTAAAAATATGTTTTTAATTTTTAATGATAGAATATACTAATATAGTATTGTCATCAATGTGACATAGCTACACCAAGTTTGCAGTCGATACGATACGACATTGGGAGTACGGTTGAAATTGAGTTACAAGATTTTAGGATACAACAACAGACGTAGTGAGTTAAATAAAAGCGTGTTAAAATAGTTTATACTTTAGTTGAGGTGGTGTCCGTGCTAGCGCCGGCCATCATCCTCGCAACATTCGGTGCCGTCACCCGAACACGTTCCCCCACCCCCCCACCCCCGCACCGTCTCCTCCCCCGAACCCAGAAAGCGACCCCGGCGCCGCGGTGGATCCGGCGGTGGACGTCCTGGTAGTCACCCACGGCGGACTCATCCGCGAGTGGGTTCGCTACCTCACCGAGGACCTGGGCTGCCCCGTGCCCGCCGAGTGGCGGCAGCGGCTGCTGGTCGTGTCGCCCAACACGGGGGTGTCGCGCTTCCTCGTCTCGCTGCCCGACGGCGCCGGTGCCGACGGCGGCGACGGTGCCGGCTCGCTCCTCCCCACCGCCGTGCAGTGCCTGCAGCTGCACAGCAGTTCCCACCTCTCCCCGGCGAAGGTGCAGCCGCCACCGGCGATGTAGAAAAAAAAAAGGATCGAGTTCAACTGCCGGTCAAGCCCGCTTCACACGCTCGCACCACCACCCACCCCCCTCCCCCCGCCCGCAACCTGAGCACTAGCGTATAAAGGTCACGATCCATCTAGGGCAGGCGATGACGGGCAACGCAGAACGAGTCGGTGGGCCACGTGAACGGGCCCTCCGTCAGCTTAGTGGGCCCGCGAGCGTAACATCGTGACCCCCCACGCTTAACCCTAGACGCACCGAGACCAGGTCAGCATGCAAGCCCATGGGCAGTAGGTTGCCCGCCACTGGTCTATGGGCAGTTGCTGGAAGCCTTCGCCAAGCGACGCGTCGATCACGATCCGCTTCGGCAACTCTCGCGAGGCTTGCGAGGCAACGGCGACGATCGCCACTTGCTACGTCGCCTAAATGTGACTGAAACTCTGAAGTTACAAATAACGGTTTTTCTGCCTTGCGATGAGAATCGCTCTCTGTAGCAGAGTGTGTGGGTTGGTGTTGCCTCCCGCCACCACCCGAGCTTGTGGTTAAAAACGGGTCACTTGAAGGAGTTGCGTGGGTGCCGAGGTGGTGAGATGTTAACTACCTCGCCTGCTATACAGGAGGTCGTGGGTTCGATCCCGACCCCACACCTGTACATTTGGCGTTTGCGTTTCTCTCTCTCTCTCCACGTGGTCGCGTGGATTTTTCTCCTGTTTTTCCCCTCCACATTTAGAATCAACATGCGTTTAGAGTATTTGGCTGCTATTATAAATGTCCACGTGATGATAAGCCACTTCGTTGAGGATATCATTTGTGGCCAGGTCGCTTCTAAAAAATAGCTCTGTAGCTCAGTGGGCCTTACTTAGTAAAATAAAAAATATCTTGGTTTTAGTTTTAATATCTGCATCTGCGGCCCGTTTTCTAACACGGGCTGGTGAACTGCTTTCCGCATGGACAGCAGTTGGCAAAACATTTGGAATACTTTAAAAAAATCCATTTCAGTTTAACAACCAATATTATCCATACTCTTTGGTCCTTTCGGTAAAGTCACGTGGGTATAAAATAAAATAAATAGCGACGTTTCGGGCGCAACACAAGCGTCCGTCATCAGGTGTGAAAGCGTGATCTGCTGCCGAGGCAGATTGTTCGGATCAAAAACCCTGCAGCCACAACCATAGAGGGTTGCCGAATTTTGCCAGTGGCAAAAATAAAAACCTAATAATCGATTATTAAATAAAATTTCCACTCTCAACAAAGCAACCCCCTTATCGTATCCGGGCTACGTTCCCCTTGTACCGCGATCGCCTTCCTGAGACGTCAGTGGCCCCCGACTGGCTTCTGCATATGACGCTGGAGAGTATATCAATCGCAGAAACCGCTCTATATATTTATACGCGTGTATATATGTGAGGCACGTGGAGCGACAGTGCACGCACAAGGGTCGGGCTGTTCAAGGCGAGAATCAAACTTGAAACTATTTTGGCGACGTGGTTTTCGCCGGCACGTTCATTACGAGCGACCTCTTCGTCACTCGACTTTCGCGTAACGGGTTTTGCTCGCTCCTGCGTCGCTGCGGGGCCCTCGTTAACGGCGAGGAGGTCACCGTGACGTTCGGAGTGACGAGCCGTGACGACGATGCACTGCGCGGGAGAGAGGGGGCATCACTCGCCGAGTCTCTGAAATCTGTGCAATATCGGCCGGTACAAATCGACGATCACATGACCAGTAGTGGCAGCGTCTTCCCCCACGTGCCATTGCTCAGCACCCCCCCCCCCCCCCCCCGACTCCTGGGCGCGCGCGCACGCACCCTCTTAACCCAGGTCCCCACGACATCTGGGAATTCGTATACGCTCGCGATGCACGCGCCGGACGAGAATAAGCGAATTCCCATTTCACGCGTGCGAATTACCCGCCGTTGTGGCACAAGGTGTTGGCAATGGAGGGGGCAAATTGCCTAGGAAGTTGCTTAAACGGAATGGTCGCTGGCTTAACACGAATCTGGAAGCCCGCTTTGGCTGAAAGACTTGAAAATGTGTTTTTGTTATTTCTACGCGAAGCTCCGGAAGTTGGCATTTGTTGTTGTTGACGCTGTTGCTGGATCGTGGCGCCGTCGGACGGTTGGGCATTCGCTGCTTTTAAGTGGAGGTTCAAGCTTCAAATCCCGTGCCCCCCCCCCCCCGATTATTTATCGGGGGCCATCGACCATCCCACACCTCCGGTTGGCTATGTACGATTCAACATACAGACACAGACACGTACATCATCGTCCATTTTAGCCAAGACGCGTCCTGCCCAAGCGCCCCACTCGCTTCCCCTGACGGGATGAACGATTTAACACGGAGTAGGCTTTCGCGACCAATATCATCCACAATACAGGTTGTTTTGAGTGAGATCGCGTAAATATATAAACGTGTCGTTAAACCCGCCAACACCGGACACAGCCAATTACTAAGGGGTTTGTCACGTAAACAGAACGTGGCCAATTCGTCACTAGTACAGCTACACCGGTTGTGTTTGGAGAGCAAATCCACAACATTTACAATCCGAGTACGATGTTTCGCCAGTAATTACAACCAGCTTCATCAGGCTGTGATAAAGCTAGTCTGGCGTTTATGAAGGTATCTCTCTTCTGCACTGTCGAAAACAAAACAAGTTTGTCTTTGCCGTTTTCGTTTGAAAATTATTTATTGAATGTTTTGAGCATGTGATGATGACGACGACGACGATGTTGATGACCTGTCAATTAAATATTTTGAGAGGATACAACCCTCGTGTTCTGGTTCATCATGGCTTCCGCTTTACCGCTTGCCACGGAGAGGTCTCCCTTTGAAGAGGAGGAAGACGCAAGCCCACAGCCCGCAGGACGCCACCGGCTCCTCGCGTTGCAGACGCACGCTCACATCCCCAGCACAGGCCGGTAGCCGTGCGTCGATCGATCCGTTTCAGTTTGCCAATTCATTCGGGTCGATTACCCGTGGCATATCGCGTGTCACGAGGAATCGACGCCGCCTGCGTCGCCCGGTGCACGTGGTACACACCTGCAATTGGCTACGCACGTCGCAAAAGAAGTTCAACATACATATACATACAAATCTTCTCGGTTCTTTCGGTAAAGCCACGCTGTCTTTCCGACAGCCCTGTTCTTCACCCGAGGACGGCTGCTTGCGTTGTGGCCGAAACGTCGTGAGAATTGTATTTTATTATGTTTTATTTTTATTATTTTATTATTTCCGTTCTACGTGACTTTACCAAAAGAACCAAGAAGATGAATCCCTGCAGTCACGAAAGCTTTAAATCGAAAACTATACATACAAACTCAACTTGAGCTGTCTAGCAACTTGACCACGAATGATAAGCTCAACGAAGTGGCTAATCACCACGTGGACATTTATGGTAGCAGCCAAATAATCTACACTCATGTTGGCTCTAAACGTGAAAGGAAAAACCGGAGGATCCGGAGAAAAAAAATCCACGTGACCACAGACAGAGAGATGCACAAACTCCAAATGTTCTTGGTTCTTTCGGTAAAGTCACGTAGAAGGGAAGTAATAAAATAATAAAACATAATAAAATAAGATGAATCCCTGCAGTCACGAAAGCTTTAAATCGAAATTAAACTCCAAATGTACGTCAGGGTCGGGATCGAGTCCACGGCCTCCTGCATACCAGGTGAGGGAGGTCGTATTTTTGTGTTTAGTTGTCCGTTCCCCCAGACCTTCGATCAGCCACGGTTGGCTACGTACGGTACGAAAGAAGTTCAACATACATTGTTTCGTTTTTTGTCCTTCCACCCACACCTCCGTTTAGCCACAGTCGGCAACGTATGGTGGTGCGAAAGATCAACATAATTTGTTTTAGTTTGTTGTCCTTCCCCGCGCACCTCTGATCAGCAACGGTCGGCTACGTACGGCGCGAAAGAAATTCAACGTACATACACACGAGCTACGTGGAGCGAAACGTCGGACGTCGTGCCGAACAACAACACGTGGCATGACCCACGAAAACACATCCGAGGGACGGACGGAGGCCCTCCGTCACTTCTGCCGCGATGAGGTGAGGGTGAGCGCCGAGGAGACGCGGAAGATCTGGGGCAGCATGGCGCTCAGCTGGAAGAACACCTCCTCCGACAGGCCCTGCAACGGTGACACCACGGACCACCTTTGAAATAACGTCGTGCGAAGATCTCCCCCGTCGCAATAGGGATGATTCCTCGCCAAAGTCGCCCGGGTGAAAAAAAAGTGGACTAGGTTTTTTTTGCCCAAACCAATCAAACTTAACAAATTTTATTAATTAACTTACATGAATTACTTTTTGCATTCGGTTTTCCATCCTCAAACCTGCACCTCCCGATTAGCCACGGTTGGCTACGTACGAAAGAAGTTCAACATACGTACGTACGTACATCAATACAGGAATCGGACCGTTTATCAGATGCAGAGGCAGGAGGATGTCACCCTTCAAGAAGTAACTCGGTTCTTCGTCGTGAGTTAGATCCCGACCCTGACACCTGCTGCTGTGTATTTGGAGCTTGCGTCTCTCATCATCATCACGGTGGCTAGGAGATGTTAACTACCTCGCCTGGTGTACAGGAGGTCGTGGGTTCTCTTCCGACCCTGACGCCTGCTGCTGTATATTTGGAGTTTGCGTCTCTCATCATCATCACGGTGGCTAGGAGATGTTAACGACCTCGCCTGGTAGACAGGAGGTCGTGGGTTCGATCCCGACCCTGACGCCTGCTGCTGTATATTTGGAGTTTGCGTCTCTCATCATCATCACGGTGGCTAGGAGATGTCAACTACCTCGCCTGGTACGCAGGAGGTCTTGGATTCGATCCCAACCCTGACACCTGCTGCTGCTGTATATTTGGAGTTTGCGCCTCTCTCTATCTCTCCCCGTGGTCACGGCTTTCCCCTCCACATTTAGAATCAACGTGCGTTTTAGAGTATTTGAGCCCGTATACATTTCCAGATGAGAAGCCACTTCGTTGAGCGATCATTTGTGATAGCCGGGTCGCTTCTGAAAAAGAGCTCGTACTATAGCTCAGTGGGCATTATTACCTGGTACAGATAAAAACATTTGACAGTAAAACGTATTGACGGGCAAATACGTGACGGCAATCGACGCGGTCAACGCTGAATCGCGGCATAAACCGATCGGCGTGGTTACCTGCGGCACGATGAACTGCACCGTGCGCGAGACGCCCCCGTCCCACGAGGCCATCTCCATCATGAACCCTGCGGGCAGCAGAGCAACAGCGCGACAAACGAGGTCATTCGAAGTAGAAGAAATTTTTTTTATAATCAAATGTACGGCGTCCCGGGAAATCGGGAAACGCAAGGTGATCAAATAATAAGTTTTGATTGGAAATTAATATTTTGAGTTAGGCCGCGTAACGACCTGGTCAAGCCGGGTGTTGCCAAGATCCTCCGCTACCCGCCAAACAAATTAAGCTGCCACGCGGGTGCAAAGCGTTTAACAACGTATTCTTGGTTCTTTCGGTAAAGTCACGTATAAGGGAATAAAATAATAAAAATAAAACAATTAAATTAAATTCTCACGACGTTTCGGCCACAACGCAAGCAGCCGTCCTCACGTTCGACAACGTGCTAATTACGACCGTTTCCGCTCGCTAACCCGGTGAAAGTTGTGGAACAATTCTCACGGGCTAAATAAATTCAGCAGACACGCGACAGTTTCCCGTCGCAACTTTGTCGCGCGTCAGCGGGACGAGAGCCAGGAGAGTCGAGAGGGACAAAATCCAAAACAGATATTGCGAATAACTGCATCGCTATGCCTGCTCTCCGGCAAGATTGAGCAGTATTAGTCGCGGCTACTCCCGAAGCTATCGCATGACTCACAAGACTTCAACTTGGACGTGTGATTTGGACGTATTTGTTATACACCCCACCAGCGGTTATTAACCTGGGGGTGCGAGATGCCCTTTCTGAAGGGTGCAAGACACGGCCAGATTTTTTTAGAAGGTAAATAATCGAAAACACAAATTAAGCACGGACGCGTAAGTAACAAATTACTTTGTTTCATCAAACCCTCTTTGTCGTTATTAACATTGTACTTTTTATACTCTTTGGCTCTTTCGGTAAAATCACGTAGGTGAAAATAAAATAAAAAAACTAAATTAAATCACGACGTTTCGGAAGCAACACAAGCCTCCGTCATCAGGTGGGACAGCCACAGCAAGAAATAATTTGCTGGAGTGGACAAGAGCTTGCAGTCACGAAAACTTCAAATCTAGAATTGTACTTTTTTTACGATTGAGAACCAAAGTGGTGCAAGGCTGCTGTAAAGGATAAAGACCACTGCTCAAGAGAGAGAATCATCACCACGTGGAAACTTATCAGCGCCTGGGTTTGTTCCCACCCCACCCCACCTCCCGCCCTTTCAAAATCTACTTTGCATTCTGGGTTCTCGATTAAAAAAAATTAAAACAAATGTCCCAACGATGCCGCATGCCGAGTGCGTCCGTGTCACCTTTCACACATTTGAAGACCAGCTCCGCCTTCTTCAGGCACCACGAGACGGTCATTTCCTAAGCCGCGACCCACACAAAAGACATTAACAGACTGTTGGGGCAAGGGCTGTTAGCGAGTAGCAGCTTCTGCTGCTGCCTTCACGTTCGTCCGTGGTTCCTCTTTCCCGGCTCCTCAGTCGCCCTCTCTCCCTCTCTGTCTGCGAGAGCGAGGAGCGGCTTGCGTGCGGCGCCGCATTGCGTTGAAAGTTGACACCGCACTCTAATGCGTGCGGCAATACCGGTAACCGTTATTTTACCGTTTTCTTGATGTATTTTTGAATTCTGCTAGCGGAAATGCCAAAAAAAAAACGATTTTAACGACCATAATATAAACCTATGGGACCTTTTTTCCAGTATGGAAATGTTTTTTTGCCAGTATCAAAATGATGTAACTGCTCAACCCGAGCCATTCATCCTTTGATATTTGTAGTGGCATTGTACAGGTCGAACTAGTGAGACAAGGCCATAAAGAAAGCTGTCTCTGGTGCAGGCCAATTATACTCTTAGGTTTTTTTCGGTAAAGTCACGTAGATAAAAAAGAAAATTTAAATTTATAAAATAAATTATTTTATTTCTATTATTACTTTTATAAATTAAAATTTTATTTTTACCTACGTGACTTTACCGAAAAAACCTAAGAGTATGATTCCTTGCAGTCACAAAAGCTTCAAATCTAGAAGTAGGCCAATTAGTTCCGAAGACAATGCACACATTATCAGAGCGTGCTTGTTTGCATGCTTAGCCACACGTATGTTTGATTAATGCAGACTTGATGCCTTGAAACAGGTGTGCGTCTATTTGGTGCGTGCGCATTTTAACACCTACTGCTTTATTGCCAAAACGGGTAGAGCATATTCTTATTTTTCTTCATCATATTAACCGTTAGCTTTTACCCACGCCGCCCGCACCCTGCCCCGCCACACCCCGTGACCCCTAGTGCGCTCCCATTGGCTAAGACTAACCTCGGACATCTCGTGGACGAGCAGCAGGGGCAGGGTGATGTTGGTGATGTCGTTGTGGCAGCAGACCTACAGCGGAGGGGCAGCATGGCATCGCCGTCAAGGCAAAACATGAGCGGCGAACGTGTATCCACGCGGCACCCTGCGTCGTATGTACGTGTGTATGCTCAAGTTCTTTCGCAGTCTACGTAGCTAACCGTGCTAATCGGAGGTGCGGGGGAAAGACAACAAACTATAGGTTTCTGCGCGAGTCTGTGGGTCTCTGTTTGAGTCTGTAGGTCTCTGTTTGAGTCTGTGGGTCTCTGTTTGAGTCTGTGGGTCTCTGAGTCTGTGGGTCTCTGTGCGAATCTGTGGGTCTCTGCGCGGGTCTGTGGGTCTCTGTGCGAGTCTGTGGGTCTCTGTGCGAGTCTGTGGGTCTCTGTGCGAGTCTGTGGGTCTCTGTTTGAGTCTGTGGGTCTCTGTGCGAGTCTGTGGGTCTCCGTTTGAGTCTGTGGGTCTCTGCGCGAGTCTGTGGGTCTCTGCGTGAATCTATGGGTCTCTGTGTGAGTCTACATATGCATGTACGCTGACCTTCTTTCGCACCGTACGTAGCCAACCATGCCGCGTCTTCAACGGCTCCAAGCGTTCCCTCCGTTGGGCGGGCCGTTCCACCATTCGCCCACCCACCCACCCGCCCTCCCGGCTCACCTTGAGGATGTTGCGCAGGCCCATGATGGCCGGGTCCCGGGCCGTGATGGCGCCGCAGCGAGCGCCGTCGTCAACGCACAGGTGGAAGACCACCTGCACCTCGGCGAGGTTGGAGTGCCGCGTGATGTAGAACTCCCCTGCGGAGGAGAGGCACGCCGCGGTCGCGCCATCACGACGGCGATGGCACCGGGGGGGGTGGCGCTGGCGTCGCACGAGGCGACACTCGGCCCCCCCCCCCCCCCCCTCAGCGGCCGGGCGTTTGCAAAACCGGGAGGCCGCCACCGGTTAATAACTGATGCGAAAGATCCCGTGACGTAATTTTTTTTAAAGAGGGCGGGCCTACTCTACGCGTGCCGGCATCGCCGTCAAAATGTTTGCGCCGACCGTGTGAAAAATTATGGAAAAATTATGGAAAAATTACGGAAAAATTACTCTATGAAGAGGTAAAACGACACAGGAACATCAGCGCCCTGCTGGCAGACTGCACCTGGCGAGATGTTTTGTGGATTCTTCTCCGAGTTTTTCTTGTCGTCCGCGCCTCCGTTCCGGGCAAAGGACTCTTGAAATTCAACCGGACACAATCCCGCGACCGTTTAACGTCGTTGCGGAGACCGCAAGTAACAAAATAAAATAAGCAGGCAATGCATCTCCTTCATCTATGTATTATATTATATTATGTGATGGGCTTCTTGTTCAATGAAACAGGAGGTATTAAGATATTATATTCTTGGTTCTTTTGGTAAAGTCACGTAGAAGGGAAACAATAAAATAACAAAAATATGAAACAATAAAATTCTCACGACGTTTCGACTGGAATACAAGCAATCATCATCAGGTGTGAAAAACAAATTTCCTCGCTGTGTTTTTCACACCTGAGGAAGATTGCTTGTGTTGCAGTCCAAACGTCGTGGGAATTTTATTGTTTTATATTTTGTTATTTTATTGTTTCCCTTCTACGTGACTTTACCGAAAGAACCAAGAATATAATATCTTAAAACCTCCTGTTTCATTGCCAGCAAGGGTCAACACCTATTCTTATTTTGCATACTTTGATACTAGCAAAAAGGTCCCGTAGATATAACTGCCCAACCCGACCTATGCATGCTTTGATACGTGCATTGTCTTTGTGCTGCTTCGCCTTTTGCCGTTCTCTGGTCTGACACTGGTGGTGAGACTTGGCCATAAAGAAGGCTGCTATCTTTGGTGTCGGCCAATCAGTTTCAAAGACAATTCCATATATAATTATCAGAGGCATGTTCGTTTGCATGTTCACAACAAGTACGTGCTGTTAATGCAGACTTGATGAGGTCATGTGCGTCTATTCGGTGTGTGCGCATCTCAACACAACTCCTATTTTATTTGCCATAAAGGGTTGAAAGCCTCCCCTTATTTTTAATGACAGGCTACGAGCAGCACAACCACCAAAGCCCAGCAAATGAGAGGCGATGCTCTGGGGAACACGGCAATGGTTCATTTATTATTAGGTATAGCCCTGTGAGCCATTCGGCTCTTGAATCGGGTGCAACCGCAACAAACAAAAAACACGAACAAGAAACATCTTAAAGTGACTATGTGACTAAGTGTGAATAGAGAATCCAAGAAAAGACAGCAAAATATTGCAGAATAAGCACCGTACACCAACGCTGTGTGCAAAAATCACAGTGGAATGCAAGTCAAACAACAACAACAACAACCACAAGACAACTTAGATTAAAGCCATCAGTCTAACTCTGTACTACAACAAACAAAAAGTGCAAACAGAAAATAGAAAACAGAAAATCCACGATGCCCACCCCCACCTCACCTGTGCCCTTCTTATCCTTGCCGTGAAACGTGTTGACGGCCAACACCACCTCCTGAACGTCGTTCATCTGCTGCTCGAGTTCCAAGAAGTGAAAATCGGTCGACTGTTGGCAAACCGTCGCAAACTCTGTCGGGAAAACAAAGGTGTAGGTAGGCAACCCCGTTTTAGCCTGCAACAAGACAGCCGATGGGGGGCGAGTGCTGTATCTATGTATGTAGAACTTCTTTCGCACCGTACGTTATGCAACCGTGGTAATCGGAGGGGCGGGGGAAGGACAACAAATTAAACACAAAAAGCAGTCATACAAAAAAGGTTTTCAATTTAAAATTGCAGAGCTCCAGTTGCTTCCTAATTACTATTTTTTAACAATTTTTTTATTTTCGCAGGTAAAGTCCCACTGAGCTACATAGTTCAGCGAAGTGGCTCATTACACGGAAATTAATAGCAGCCAAATACCCTCAACGCACGTTTCTAAATGTCGAGGGAAAAACCGGAGGACCCAGAGAAAAATCCACGCGACCACGGAGAGAGAGAGACGCGCAAACTCCAAATATACAGCAGCAGGCGTCAGGGTCGGGACCGAACCCACGACCTCCTGTACACCAGGCGAGGTAGTTAACATCTGGTCACCGTGGCGCCCACGGTAACATCGGAAGAGCGTTCCAGACGGGACGCAGTCCGGCAGGCTCAACATGCCGCCACCATCGCCACCACCACCACCGCCACCTTTCTTGATGCCGCTGTAGGAGCTGATGCGGTTGTCCACGAGTAGCACGAGGCCCGAGAGCGCGGCGGAGTAGAGCGATAGCGCCATGTGCAGTCGGCGGGGCCGCGTGTCGCCCTGCGAGCCGGCGCGCAGGCGACACAGCTCCAGCACGTCGGCGCGCAGCAGCCGCAGGTTGTGCATCGTCTTCATCTGAGCGCCTGCGTACGCGACCCCAACCAGAAAGAAGCGAGTCAGGTCTAGCGGGGGTCAAACTCGTCGCGAGAAAACCGGCAGACCGACCACCCAACCCACGACCTCCTGTATACCAGGCGAGGTAGTTAACATACTCTTAGGTTTTTTTCCGGTAAAGTCACGTAGGTAAAAAATAATAATATAAAAATAATAAATGAAAATTACTAAATTAATTTACTAATAATAATAAATGAAAATAAGTAAATCAAGTTATTTTCATTCATTATTCTTTTATTTTATTATTATTTTTTACCTACGTGACTTTACCGAAAAAAAAACCTAAGAGTATGAATCCTTGCAGTCACGAAAGCTTCAAATCTAGAGGTAGTTTACATCTGGCCACCGTGGCGCCCACGGCGATATCGGAAGAGCGTTCCAGACGGGACGCAGTCCGGAAGACTCAACGTGCCGTCACCACCACCACCGCCACCACCACCGCCGCCACCACCGCCACCCCCACCCCCCCCCCCCCGACCGCGGCGCTTAAAAAAACACAGCCGTGGGGCACGATGACGAGCAGTGCCGCACACCCAGGTGGATAGTGAAGCTCTCCTCTAGCCGCCGGTGCTCCTCGTACGCCACTCCCTCCTCCATCTCGGCGTCGGGCGGCTGCCCCGTCAGCCCCGCCACGTCGTCCCTGCGGGCGACGAGGACGATGAAGGCAGAATGAGAATATTTACCGATGCCGGAGGAATCCTATGAGCTGTAAAGCTCTTTTTCACAGATGGCCAGTAGCGGCAGGTAAGAGAAAATTGCAACAACAAACAATACAAAAACACGATAATAGTGCAAAGTATAAAAGAGCTAAACAAATTACCCAAACACATGCAAATAAAATTCAACCATGGAGAGAATATACAAACTCAAAAAATACACCAGGCGTAGAGTCGGGATCGAACCCACCAACTCCTGTATACCAGGCGAGGTAGTTAACATCTCCTAGACACCGTGATGGTGAGATGCAAACTCCAAATATACAGCAGGCATAGGGTCGGGATCGAACCCACGACCTCCTGTATACCAGGCGAGGTAGTCAACATCTCCTAGCCACCGTGATGATGAGATGCAAACTCCAAATATACAGCAGGCATAGGGTCGGGATCGAATCCACGACCTCCTGTATACCAGGCGAGGTAGTCAACATCTCCTAGCCACCGTGATGATGAGATGCAAACTCCAAATATACAGCAGGCATAGGGTCGGGATCGAATCCACGACCTCCTGTATACCAGGCGAGGTAGTCAACATCTCCTAGCCACCGTGATGATGAGATGCAAACTCCAAATATACAGCAGGCATAGAGTCGGGATCGAATCCACGACCTCCTGTATACCAGGCGAGGTAGTCAACATCTCCTAGCCACCGTGATGATGAGATGCAAACTCCAAATAAACCCCAGGCAAAGGGTCGTGATCGAACCAACGACCTCCTGTATACCAGGCGAGGTAGTTAACATCTCCTAGCCACCGTGATGATGATGAGAGATGCAAACTCCAAATATACAGCAGCAGGCGTCAGGGTCGGGATCGAACCCACGACCTCCTGTATACCAGGCGAGGTAGCCAACATCTCGCCACCGCCACTCACCCGCCGGCCTTGCCGTCCGGCGTACTTGAGTCCTGGTGCACCTTCATGACCCAATCGCGGTACTCGAGCCTCTGCAGCTCCATCAGCTGCTTCAGCTCCACGTTCCACTTGCTCTCCACCGCCTGCGTGGGCAAAGCGGGCGCGCCAAACGCTGCATTTTCAGGACGGCGTGCGACGTCTGACGCGTTGTTACCACGCGCGTGAACCCACGGAGAGCCTCGCTCGAGACTCGGGATGTTTTATTATAATTTATCCGCCGGTAGGGTTCCATCGAGCTAAGCGGCTCTCTGTTATGAGAAGGATCACAGCCCAAGGCCGTCGGACGTTGAGTCGGTTACAGGGCATTGCAGGGTGGGAATATGCAAACGAGAGCATGATCGCTCCCCCCCCTGATCGGCCCCTACTAATAAGACTACAAAGAGATGTCCAACACCATGTGAGACTAGGCTCTAAGAAAAGCTGTCTCGGGTGTGGACCAATCAATTTCAAGGACAGTGCATACATTATCAGAGTTGTGTTTTTTGTTTGCATTCCGACCGCAGTTATTATGGTCTATGCAAACATGACTCCTTGTAAAAAGAGGTGTCAGTTTTGTTGCCAGATAAAAGGGTAAAAAAACAATTATCATTATAATAATGGAATTCTCCAATACATTCATCGCATTCTATCCAATTCGCGTCATTAAAAAAACACACGCGCTATGGCAGAACTGACTGTAAGCGTCGCCGCACGGCACTCGTTCGCTCGCTCCCAAAGAGAGAGGACGACTCGGAGGCGCAAGGAACCACAGACGAGCGGGAAGGGCAGCAGCCAGGCGGTGAGCCGACGCGCCAAATCCCTACCCCACCCCACCTCCAAGCTCTGCCAGTCCTCTATGTATCAAGGTGTAATGGACCAATTAGAGTTTACATGTGGGAGGAAAGGCACATCACCCGAAGACGGTGCGTGCGAGGGAACAACACTCGATCCCACACAGAAGGGACGGATGATATTCGTCCGCACTCTGCCGGAGCGCATTCTCGTGGCGAGCCGGGGGCACGGCACCTCTTCGACGCCGACGTCGAAGGGAGTGTCACAGCCAATGTGTGTGTGACCCACTAACCCTCGCTGGCTCCAAAGCGCTGGATCACAGGCCACGTGCTCAGCCACCACCGCCGCCAAGCGAATGGCCACTTGTAGGACGGTGCCGAGTCAACCTTGTGCCACACAGGCACATCTGCCACTGAGGGGTTCCTTTCCGAATGGCTGAGATGAGATGCGACGCATGTTTCTTTTTGACCTGCCGGGGAATTTAAGCGAGGTGTCTTTCGACTGTAATGTGTTGAACCGCTCCACCCCAACGCTCGCCCTCCCCGCCACGAGACCTGCTGAGTCTCGAAGTGCTGCACGGCCAGAACGTTGACATCCTCGTCCCTCAGGGACTTGCCCAGCTCCTGCATGGCTCGCTCCATCTCCACGCGCTGCCTGCGGGTGGCAAGCAACGATAGCGACGACAACGTCATCAACAATAGCGGCCGTCGCTCACCATGCACGCTTCCCTTTCTCTCTTCACTGGCGTACCCGATCCAGGCCGGCGCGGGGGGCCACTCGCGGTAACGGGTGCGGTTTTTAAATCCTTTATATTAAGTTCACTTGCTTGCTTACTTGCTTGCGCGCTTACGACCGTGCAAATCTTTCGGTCGTTTTTTAACCCACTTCCCGTGATCCAATCGAGCTGACATTTTGCACACAGACTCGTTGTGCGTGACAATTTATTTTCGTGAAATTTTTTTTCCTAAATTTTCCACTTTTTAGGAATTTTTTTTTTTCATATTTAATTTAAAATATCAATGTGATAAAAATGAAACTCTTACTGAAGAAAAACAGAAATGAATAATAAAATAAAACCAATGCCACGCATATAAAGGATTTATAGTAAAAAACTTTGTTTTTACGGATTATTTTTTTTTCCATTGGCTCTTCGACCGTGCCGAGCCAGAACTAGACCGTGATTGAGAACTAATTTCTCTAGAACTGCTTTTTTGCAGTTCAGTTTGTTGCCGTTCCAACCCGCACCTCTGATTAGCACATGTGAAAGAAGTTTAACATACGTAGACTCACGTAGACCCATACACCAACACAGAAACCCATCGTTTTCTGTCCTTTCCGCGGACCTCCGATTAGCACGGTTGGCTATGTACGGTGTGAAAGCAGTTCAACGTACACACAGACATACCGGCCGAGTCGCCGTTGGAAAAGAGCTACATAGCTCAATGGGTTTTACTCGGGAAATAAACTTCTGATTCTTCTGACTCTAATGATACGCTGGCCTCACTAGACATCTGAATGTTTGCTCGGGGCCAAGCAGGGCCAACAAGAAACAGAGCGAGCGAGAAGGTGAGAGACAGAGCGAGAGAGAGTGAGAGAGAGAACGAGCGAGAAAGTGAGAGCGCGGGAGAAAGAGCGAGAACGAGCGAGATAGTGAGAGAATGAGCGAGAGTGAGAGAGCGAGCGAGAGAGTGAGAGAGTGAGAGAGAGAACGAGCGAGAGTGAGAGAGCGAGCGAGAGAGTGAGAGAGAGAACGAGCGAGAGTGAGAAGGAGAACGTGCGAGAGACAGAGAGAGAGAGAGCGAGCGAGAGAGTGAGAGAGAGAACGAGTGAGAGACAGAGAGCGAGAGAGAGTGAGCGAGAGAGAACGAGCGAGAGCGAGCGAGAGAGTGAAAGAAAAAACGAGTGAGAGACAGAGAGCGAGAGAGAGCGAGCGAGAGAGTGAGAGAGAGAACGAGTGAGAGACAGAGAGCGAGAGAGAGCGAGCGAGAGAGCGAGCGAGAGAGCGAGAGAGAGAACGAGCGAAAGTGAGAAAGAAAACGAGCGAGAGACAGAGAACAAGCGAGAGAGTGAGAGAACGAGCGAGAGACAGAGAGCGAGAGAGAGTGAGCGAGAGAGCGAGCAAGCGACCTCTCGCGCAGCTGCTGCAGGGCCATCTCCCGCTCGGCGAGCATCTCGGCGGCGCTGACGCAGTAGTGGTGCTCCAACGTGAGCAGCGTGTGCGACACGGGCGAGTGGATGAGAGCGCTGTACGCCCGCGAGAACTCCTCGTCCGCACGCGCCTCCTCAGCTCCCACGTGCTCCACCGTGGTCTGCGCTCCGCCGCAAGGCACCGTAGACAAATATCCCCCAGACCGCGTTAACCTTTAACAGACATTCGGTGGGCAAGTGACGTTTGCGAACTCCTACGAGGGCCGGCACGGCACACCGATGAAGGAGCTGCCTTTCGATGTTTACAGCTCCTCACTTGAGGCTGAGTCAACATGGTCCCAGGAGCCCAGGGCCAGTTCAAATGTTCATCACCCTTAATAGCAGAAAGCGGGGAATCGAACTCGGTTCGTCGGGTTCGTAGCGCGGTTCACGAACCACTGCGCCACCACTCCCTGCACGGTACCATCACCACTACCACTCACAAAGCGCAATCAGGTCAACTGCTTGTCCGTGAATTTATCAGGTTAATAACGCAGCCCTGTGATTGCTTGCTCAGGCCACTGCTGGTGGAGAAAACCTCTACTTTTGCAGGCTGGAGTCACCTTGTGCCACAAAGGGACAGCTGCCACTGGTTGAGATGAGATCTGATGTACGTTGCTTTGGGGAATTTCAGCAAGCGCCCTGTACATGCAAATATTATTATTGCATTCAAATAATTATTAGCGTACAGCGTAATCGGTAATGTATATTGAACCTCTTTCGTACCGTCCGGAGCAAACCGTGCTAAACGGAGGTGCGGTGGATTGACAACAAACTAAACACATTTACACTATGAGACCTCTTTTACCAGTGGCAAAATATAGTAGTATGTTTTTACCCTTTTAAACTGGTACAAAACTGACACCTTTATACAAGGCATCATGTTTGCAATAACCACAACACAAGTAGTATCAGAGTATTGAGAGCTCTAAATACTCTGATATTGCACTGTGTTTGAGTTGTACGCCTTCTAGTGTCATCTGATCCAACACCAATGGGGACTAGGCTCTAAAGAGGACAGTGCATATTATTATCATTATCAGAGTTGCTTCTTTTTGTTTGCTTTTTTGACTACTTGTGTTGTGGTTATTGCAAACATGATGCCTTGTATAAAGGTGTCGGTTTTGTACCAGTTTAAAAGGGTAAAAACCTACTACTAAACTAAAACACAGTTCTAAAAAGATTAGTTTTCACACAAGGTATAAAGGTACGTAGCTCCAGTGTCTTCCAAATATCGGAAGGAAGAGCATTCCAGACGGCCGCAGAAGCGCATCTGAAAGCGCGAGATGTGGTGACCCATCTTTGTAATCGGCGGAAACGTAGCGGCGACCGCAACGGGCGAGAATGTACAGCACGTACGCATGTTGCGCTTGTTTCGCACCGTACGTAGCCAACCGTGCTAACCGGGGGTGCGGACGGCAGAGATCGCAAACGGGTTTTGATTCCTTACCCGTACCCGGCCGCACCAGGGTCGCAAATGGGTACCCGTACCCGTACCCTTACCCGTACCCGGCTACCCGTACCCGGCCGGGTACGGGTAGGGTACAGGTACGGGTACCCAATTGCGACCTCTGGGATGAAGCCATGTTGCAGGCGCGGGTGGGTTTATTCTAGGAACTTGAATTGTGAGAAGAGACAAGACGTTGGGAAATGAGTGACAAACGGTGACTCACCAGTGACCCACGGCCTACCCGTACCCGGCCGCACCAGGGTCGCAAACGGCTACCCGTACCCGGCTGGGTACGGGTAGCCGGGTATCGGGTAGGGTACGGGTATCGGGTACCCGGTTGCGACCTCTGGCGGATGGCGAGCGTGAGCAACGGGGCCCCGGCGACGCACCTCGCGGAAGGCCTTCTCCCAGGCGCGCGCGAGGCCGTCCACCTCCTCGTCGGAGGCGAGGGCGATGCCCTCGAGCGCGCGCTCTCCGCTCTGGTCGTACAGCTCCTGCGTCTTGTCGCGCACAAACTCCCCCAGTGCCTTCCACAGCTCTGATAGGGGGGGCGGGGTGAGGCCGAGTGTGAGAGGGAGGGGGAGCGGCGTAACGCAGACGTCAAGAGGTGATGGGGATGCCGCTTGTTTCCTTAGGCCTTCTCGAAAGACTCGCCAGTTCCAACTGGCCTACACTTCCCAAGTATAATAATAACTTTCATTTTAGATAGCGTCATTCATGCCAACAGCGGTACGCGCTAGAGCGATTCCCATTTTTCCGTGTGGTCTTTGACGGTCTTCATCTTTCTGGTTCTTTCGGTAAAGTCACGTAGAAGGGAAATAATAAAATAATACTAAGAAAAAATAATAAATACAATTCTCACAACGTTTCGGCCACAACGCAAGCGGCCGTCCTCAGGTGAAGAACAGGTCTGTCGGGAAGACAGCGTCTGAATGTTCGGACGGCTGCTTGCGTTGTGGCCGAAACGTCGTGAGAATTGTATTTTATTATGTTAAATTTTTATTATTTTATTATTTCTCTTCTATGTGACTTTACCGAAAGAACCAAGAAGATGAAGACCATGAAAGACCACACGGAAAAATGGGAATGGCTCGAGCGGGTACCGAAGAGCGAAACATCTGATCCCAGGTCTCACGGACTACGACGCACGCACGCCCGTGCCAACCGGCACGCACCGTCCTCGGCATAGCAGGGCAGCGCGTGGCTGTGCACAAGGCGACTGTGCAGGTCGCTGATGGGGCAGGCGAGCGGAAGGCCGACCGGGACGCTCAGCGGCGGAGTGTCCCTTGTCGCGAACGTGAAGTCCACCACGGCCACGGGGCCTGGCACATCCTCCCCCATGGCGGCGCTCGTGTAGCCGACCCCTAAGTGCCCAACGCACACACGGGGAGGGGGGCACGCACATGTACGTACGTTGTACGTTGAGCTTCTATCGCACCGGCACACACGCGTAAACAAAGATGCGAGTAGAGTATTCACTTCGTTATTCGCCTACTTGATCTCCGCGATTTTGCCTATCCGTGAATCGCACCTGGAACTCGATATGACTTCAACGAGTGAGAAAGTGATGAGAGAGAATGTGATGTGAGAAAGTGGCGAGATAAAGTGATGATTCTAGATTTGAAGCTTTCGTGACTGCAAGGATTCATATTCTTAGGTTTTTTCGGTAAAGTCACGTAGGAAAAAAATTAAAATTAATAAAAAGTAAAATAAAAATAAAATAAAAATCACGTTTCGGAGGCAACACAAGCTTACCTTGGCTCCTCCCACCCTCAACCAGTATATATAAAACTACGGTTTTTCTTGGAATTTCTCTCACTTGATACAGCTATCGTGCTGTGACTGTTCCACCTGAAGACGGAAGCTTGTGTTGCCTCCGAAACGTCGTGATTTTTATTTTATTTTTTATTAATCTTAATTTTTTACCTACGTGACTTTACCGAAAAAACCTAAGAATAAAGTGATAATGCTTAGCAGCATAATTTAAGGAAAGTTAATTTATTAACTATGTTCATTTCATAATCAACGTTTTTTGGTTAGATCACGTTATTTATAAATTTGTCGTAACCCTCCACGAAAGCTTATATGTTCATTTATTTACTTTGTTTATTCAAACCAATTAATGTTATAATTCCCATGTATTGAATAGCTTGTTTACGCTTTTTGTTTTAGGACATTAATTCGTAGGCCAATATCATTATCCGTGACATTGGCTGTTCACGAGCATCTCTGAATAGTTTCCCTCCCGAATAACGAGGGGATACTGTAGCACCATTCAACACATAGGGTGGGGAACCTACGGGCAGTGGGATGGATACGGGACACTACTTAAATTTCACACGGCTCGCAGATTAATTTCACTTACGACTGAAACACAAACGACATTTACCCATCACTAGATCGTCTTGACACGTGCGTTTAAGAGTATTTGGAGGCTGGGTGGGGAGGGTGGGGAGGAGCTGGGTGGGGAGGGTGGGGCTGGGTGGGGCTGGGTGTGGGGCTGGTCACCCCGTGGTGCCCTTATAAAACTCAACGTTTAACCTACTCACGCCGGCTTGTGCCCGCCCTCACAGTCGGGCATATTTGCGGAATACACCACGCCGCCGTTGACCCTGGCCATTGACCGAGCAACCCGACGTTCCTACCAGCTCCCTCCGCAGGAATGTGTTAAAGGGGCGGCTCTATAAATGCTTGCTTCAAGCTACTGCTTGCGTTCGGAACGGCTTCCGTTAGACTGCAGTGCATGCACCCCCAGGTTAAGAGCCACTACACTATACACTACATTACAATATACTACACTATGCAGCAGAGGTGTGGACTCGAGTCATGTGACTTGGACTCGAGTCAGACTCGAGTCATGAATTTGATGACTTGAGACTCGACTTGGACTTGCATAACAATGACTTTGTCCCACCTCTGAGGTGTGGACTCGAGTCATGTGACTTGGACTCGAGTCAGACTCGAGTCATGAATTTGATGACTTGAGACTCGACTTGGACTTGCATAACAATGACTTTGTCCCACCTCTGCTATGCAGTACTATACACTACTATACGCTACAATACACTATAAACGTTGAGTTTTATAAGGGCACCACGGGGTGACCAGCCCCACCCCACCCAGCCCCACTCCTCCCTGCACGACGGACACAATAATCCCCTGTGGGCTGGTGTATCCAGGAGGTTCCTACCAGTAGAACTACTGTACTTGGCCAAGTCGAAACCGAATGGTGATCTATCCCTAATGCAGCTGCCCTTTGAGCCGGTGGAGAGTAAAATTCCACGTTGCCATGGCCGGGGTCGATTCTATGCCTAATGCAGCTGCCCTTTGACCCGGTGGAAAGTAAAATTCCACGTTTCCATGGCCGGGGTCGATTCTATGCCTAATGCAGCTGCCCTTTGACCCGGTGGAGAGTAAAATTCCACGTTGCCATGGCCGGGGTCGATTCTATCCCTAATGCAGCTGCCCTTTGAGCCGGTGGAAAGTAAAATTCCACGTTGCCATGGCCGGGGTTGGTTCTATCCCTAATGCAGCTGCCCTTTGACCCGGTGGAGAGTAAAATTCCACGTTGCCATGGCCGGGGTTGGTTCTATCCCTAATGCAGCTGCCCTTTGACCCGGTGGAGAGTAAAATGCCACGTTGCCATGGCCGGGGTCGATTCTATCCCTAATGCAGCTGCCCTTTGACCCGGTGGAGAGTAAAATGCCACGTTGCCATGGCCGGGGTCGATTCTATCCCTAATGCAGCTGCCCTTTGAGCCGGTGGAAAGTAAAATTCCACGTTGCCATGGCCGGGGTCGTGTCTATCCCTAATGCAGCTGCCCTTTGACCCGGTGGAGAGTAAAATTCCACGTTGCCATGGCCGGGGTCGATTCTATTCCTAATGCAGCTGCCCTTTGACCCGGTGGAAAGTAAAATTCCACGTTGCCATGGCCGGGGCCGGTTGCGTACACAGAACCGACCACTGCTCTGTGTTGTGCCAGTGGAGGCGCGCGGGGGGACACCTCTCGTGTTCTCCCTCGTTACGGCTGTCGTTAGTTAGGCGAATAAACAATAAGCCGCGGTTAATTTAATACAATTAACGCAACAACGTACAACATTTTCGCACGGGCACAGCTGAAAATTAGGTAATTTGTGACCAAATAAAACCCCCCAACAGCAGCAAAGAAATTAACGACGTAACGACGATGTGCAACTTGAAAGCGTTAGAACGTTTAAAGAATAAACTGTAGCTGTTAATCTGTTAAATGTTAAAATTATTACGGTAAACAGGAAATCGCGCACACGACACTCACACATGATCTCGGGTAAACACTAGCGGCTTGATCGCCGCGCGCTGCCGCACTGCCGATTCGTCACCGGATTCGCAACGGAATTAATTCGTTTAGTTTAAAAATAGTCTTAACGTCGTTTCAGCAGGCGGCACGACGAACGTCCGTGCGAGATAACGCCGGCGATATTTTTTTTGTTTGTTTTCTATCGCATTTAACGTGTGGTGCGTGGTTGCCTATGTTAGCGGGTGGTCGTGGTGGTGGGAGGGTTTCTTATGGCGGCGAATTATCGATGACGTCAGAGCGAAAGTGCAACGCAGCCGATGAGGAGCCGCGGACCTGTTTTCCCGCTCAAATGTTTTCCCGCCAAAAGTGACGGCGGTCCTTGTGGGCGGCCCGAGGCACAGTAAATTAGCGTTAATAACAAAAACATAATATTATGAATTAATCAATTGTAATTTAGTGTTTTTGAGGTAAATATGTAGGCCACCTTTCCGATCCGTGTCAAAGTTATGAGAAAATGCCACCACCTCGGTACGATGCATTTGTTGAATATATTTACTGTACTGCAGTATGTACATTATTCTGCGCAACATATGTAGTTGTTAAAGACTCGCTGAAGTTAACTTGTGTTTTGTCTGAGCAAATGACAAATATGAAGCGCCGTGTTTTGCGATATTCAGTAAATTAATGCAATTTTATCAACTTGTTATATCTGTAGTGAGTGTTGTGTTACGTGCCAAAATTTCCGCGCTATAAAGTAAGAATACAATTATAAAGCAGCTGTAATATCATGGTTAATGTTCATAATTCAAACTGCTGTTGTGGATTGCAGGTTACAGAGCAGGTTTCGTGATACTAATAGGGTTTTCCCCTTTTTTCTGGCAACAAAACTGACACCTTTTGCAAGGAATCATGCTCACATTAACCACAATACTTGCGGTCAAATGCAAAGCTGTCTCTGGTGTGGACCAATCAGTTTCAAAGACAATGCATACATTATCAGAGTATTGTTTTTGTTTGCATTTGACTGCAAGTATTGTGGTTAATGTGAGCATGATTCCTTGCAAAAGGTGTCAGTTTTGTTGCCAGAAAAAAAGGGGAAAAACCCTATTAGTATATTTTGGTACTGGCAAAGGAGGTCCCATGAGATTTCGTGATTTTTAGTAAACATCAGCAATGAGTAGTCAATACCAAACATAGACCCTTTAATTACTATTGACACACCGGTTTACCTGAGCCACATTAAATTATTTATTTTTTTAAACGGACCTGATTGGGGGGTGTGTGGGTTTTGTGCCTTAATTGCTCACCAGCAAGCCATAGGTGGGCCACGGTGGCTATGAGATGTTAACTACCTCGCCTGGTGCACAGGAGGTCGTGGGTTCGATCCCTTCACTGACGCTTGCTGCTGTGTATTTGAAGCTTTCGTCTCATCATCATCATCACGGTGGCTATGAGATGTTAACTACCTCGCCAGGTCTACAGGAGGTCGTGGGTTCGATCCCTTCACTGACACCTGCTGCTGTATATTTGAAGCTTTCGTCTCATCATCATCACGGTGGCTAGGAGATGTTAACTACCTCGCCTGGTCTATAGGAGGTCGTGGGTTCGATCCTGACCCTAACGCCTGCTGCTGCTGTATTTTTAGAGTTTGCGTGTCTCTCTCTCATCAGATGTTGACTACCTCGCCTGGTACGCAGGAGGTCGTGGGTTTGACCCTGACGCCTGCTGTATATTTGGAGTTTGCGTCTCTCATCATCATCATCACGGTGGCTAGGAGATGTTAACTACCTCGCCTGGTACACAGGAGGTCGTGGGTTCGATCCTGACCCTGATGCCTGCTGTATTTTTAGAGTTTGCGTGTCTCTCTCTCATCAGATGTTAACTACCTCGCCTGGTACACAGGAGGTCGTGGGTTCGACCCTTACGCCTGCTGCTGCTGTATATTTGGAGTTTTCGTGTCTCTCTCATCATCATCACGGTGGCTAGGAGATGTTAACTACCTCGCCTGGTGTGCAGGAGGTCGTGGGTTCGATCCCAACCCTGACGCCTGCTGCTGTATATTTGGAGTTTGCGTTTCTCATCATCATCACGGTGGCTAGGAGATGTTAACTACCTCGCCTGGTGTACAGGAGGTCGTGGGTTCGATCCTGACCCTGACGCCTGCTATATTTTTTGAGTTTGCGTGTCTCTCTCTCATCAGATGTTGACTACCTCGCCTGGTGTACAGGAGGTTGTGGGTTCGACCCTGACGCCTGCTGCTGTATATTTGGAGTTTGCGTCTCTCATCATCATCACGGTGGCTATGAGATGTTAACTACCTCGCCTGATACACAGGAGGTCGTGGGTTCGACCCTGACGCCTGCTGCTGTATATTTGGAGTTTGCGTGTCTCTCTCCATGGTCACGTGGATTTGTCTCTGGTTTTTCCCTTCACATTTAGAATCAACGTGCGTTCAGAGTGTTTGGCTGCTGCCGCTATAAAAGTGCACGTGATGATGATAATCCACATTCGTTGAGTTGTCATTTGTGATATCCAGGTCGCTCCTGAAAAAGAGCTACACAGTAGTAGTAATCACATACCTGCATTTCCCATAAATATTCTAAATTCCTCTTGATATGCAAATTCTTTTGTCAAGGCGCCCTTCCCTCCTTCCAACCCAGCTTAGATATACGCTCCAAGCGTGGTGCTGTTTCATTCAGACGCTGTCTCCCCGACAGACCTGGTCTTCACCTGAGGACGGCTGCTTGCGTTGTGGCCGAAACGTCGTGAGAATTATTTTATTATGTTTTATTTTTATTTTTTTATTACTTCCCTTCTACGTGACTTTACCGAAAGAACCAAGAAGAAGAGCTACACAGCTTAGTGGGGCCATACCGGGTAAAATAGAATAAAACGTTTATACTCTTTGGTTCTTTCGGTAAAGTCACGTTGTTAGAAATAAAATAAAACAAACCACGACGTTTCGATTGCAACACAAGCAATCTTCATCAGAATAACCATATCGAAAATTAAGTATTGAGGAAAATTAGTCACACCGAGATCTCAAAACTCCCTAAAACCTGGGGATGTTTTGGTTTTACTTATTGCAAGCCATGCCCGTCCCAAAATGCAGCACTGCCTTGAAAATTACTCCTGAGACTTTGACGCTTTCACGAGTAAATGAACAAAATTAACTCTAGATAGATTTACCTCCGTATGATGAGCCAATTCTACAGAATGTGCCCATCGGCTGTCTCATTGTTTAATGTCTTCTTGAAGTGACCGGTTGAGGTGCTACTGCCATTCACGAGGGAGCAGCAGCCTAGAATGAAACCAGCCCACGCTTAAGATGCTTATAATTCACTTAATTTTCATCTGCCCACAGGAAGTTTGAACGTCCATAATAAGCAAAAGGAAGGTAAAATACTACAACTGGGGTGTGGGTGGTTAAGTTAATATCTCTGGAGCTTCCCCCTCCCTTTGATGCTGCTAATCCTGCATAATGCACGGGCATACTATGACTTTAAACCCCCCGCCAAAGCTCTTACGCATTTCACAAGTAGTACTAATCGCATATCTGCATTTCCCATAAATATGCTAAAATTCCTCTTGATATGCAAATTATTTTGTCAAGGCGCTTTCCCCCCTCCAACCCAGCTTAGATAGACGCTCCAAGCTTGGTGGTGTGTCATTCAGACGCTGTCTCCCCGACAGACCTGGTCTTCACCTGAGGACGGCTGCGTTGTGTTCTGTTTTTATTATTTTATTATTTCCCTTCTACGCAGACTTTACCGAAAGAACCAAGAAGATGAATCCCTGCAGTCACGAAAGCTTTAAATCGAAAAAGGATGGGGATGGTTTAGTTGTATTTATTTGTGTTTCGGTGACTTGTTTATCTTTATTGTACGTTGCACTAGTGTCGTGTTTTTGTCCTGTTTGTTGTTGGAACTTTCTTACCCCGTGCCCCTTACTGGACATTTGTGAAAACAAGAGCTTCATAGCTCATCGGATTTTTTCTGTGTAAATAAATATGGCGAATTCGAATTTGTCCTGGCGGATGATAGGCGACGTTGTACTGTCGTGCGCACAATGTTATTTTCAACTTGGCAAAAAACCACTCGTGTCTTTATTCCCTACAGATCCAGGCCAGTGTTGGACTATTCATCGTTCGGGGAACTGGATGGCGATGGTGAGTGACGGTTGTCATCCACTCCCATCAACTCCACCAACATTTAAGTCATTCGCTCGCTCGCTCGCTCTCACTCACCCACTCAATCTTAATTTTGGAGCTTTCGTGACTGCAGGAATTACTCTTTGGTTCTTTCGGTAAAGTCACGTATAAAGATAAAATAATAAATTAAATAATAGTATACGACGTTTCGATTGCAACCCAAGCAATCGTCATCAGGTATAAAAGAAATAGCAACAAAAATCTAACCAGAAAACTATAGACAGACATACAAGCAGACAGATATCACAAAGATACACAGAGATAGAACACACATCGGCACACAGAGAGAGAATGTCTCTGTGACGAGGCCTTAAATAGAGAGAGGGGGTGGGGGCGGAGAGAGGGAGGGGCCAGAGAAAAAATTAGCATGTCAATGGGTAGGACGACGGGCGGCAAGGTACGCAAGCTTGAAAATTAGGAGAGCGGGAGAAAGACACACTAAATTAAATAACCTAGCAAAATATCGAAATGTAATGTAATGCAACACAGAGAGTCGGTCAACACACAATTAACGCATAGCCTGGTTGAATACGTATTTCATAGATTGCTAAGTTAGAAGTTAAGTGTGAAATTTGAAAGACACAAACACGAAGATCGATACACAGGCACACAATGTCCTAATATTGGGAATGTCGTCGGGGGATCTTAAATGTCCACTCTGAAGTGTTATTATGGTTTATACACACATGCAATTAATAACCAGGGTGGCCGCTGGATTCGAACTGTGACCCTCTGCAACTATCGGAGAACGTGCTGCCGCTAGGCCATGTTACCACACCATGCAAACTCCCACCACCCAATACAATATTGCATACGCAATCATAATAATCAGTTGATTTAACTTTTAATAAAAAGTCCTTAACGAGTCTATTCGTAAATGATTATCCGTGGATCCTGCGTACAATGTTTTACACTAACCCAGTGAAATTAATTCACGTGAGAATGAACGATTGCTGTTGTTTATCGTCTTTAAGGTCACCGTGCTGTTTTGGAAACGTTTCCGTTTCTCGTGGGAAATTGACCGTGGGATATTTTTTTGTTCATCCACTCTGCGCCAAAATAGTTTTGGCTTGGGCTAATTTCTGTGCTGTTGTCGAGCACGATTGTTTACCTTGGACGGTAAGATGTGAACCGGTGTTACAAAAGCTTCGGGGAATTTGTTGAGTCTCTTAAACTCCTGATTAGCACGGTTGGCTACGTACGGTGCGAAAGAAGTTCAACGTACATACATGCACCATTGGAACCTCATTTGCCAGTAAAAAATATGATAATTGTTTTTTTTATCCTTCCATCTGGCAACAAAACTGACACCTTTTTTACAAGGAGTCATGTTTGCATAGACCACAATACCTGCTGATAATGTATGTACTGTCCTTGAAGTTGATTGGTCCACACCCGAGACAGCTTTCCTTAGAGCCTAGTCTTTTATGGTGTCGTGCACAATCTGGCGTCATCTGGTCCAACACCATGTGAGACTAGGCTTTTAATTTTATTTTTTACCTACGTGACTTTACCGAAAAAAACCTAAGAGTATGAATCCTTGCAGTCACGAAAGCTTCAAATCTAGAAATATCAGAGTTATGTTTTTTGTTTGCATTATGACTGCAGGTATTGTGGTCTATGCAAACATGACTCCTTGTAAAAAAGGTGTCAGTTTTGTTGCCGGATAAAAGGGTAAAAAAACAATTATCGTACATACATGCAGCCTCTAGATCACCTCCCTGCAGGTAAAGTCAAAAACTCAAAATGATGTCCTGCTCAAATGAAGCATTTGTGCTCATCTTCTATTTAACAACTCTGCAGAGTCAGTGGTGGATATTCCACCTTAGCATGGCAGGGCTGACCCGATCAATGGTACAACCACCTTTGACTTCTCAACAAAATGGTACTTCTTTTATCGGCTCTGGATGCATGATGGGCCGTGTCACCACCCCCCCCTCCCCCCCACTTAAACCTGGGTTTGAACTCGCAACCTTCTGAATGTCAGCAACCCGGCAAGGGTTTTTCCACCGGTCAGGTGAGACATTGTCATCAAACTCATCCACATTTATTAATTCCACATTTAAATCCATAACATGCAAGACGTTCGTCAACGTTCTTACGTAAAGTGTCGAGATTAAACACTGACTGCAATTCTAGATTTGAAGCTTTCGTGACTGCAAGGATTCATACTCTTAGTTTTTTCGGTAAAGTCACGTAGGTAAAAATGAAATTAAAATTAATAAAAGTAATAATAGAAATAAAATAATAAATCACGACGTTTCGGAGGCAACACAAGTATCAAGTGAGAAATCATCATCAGGTATGAAAACCACAGCAAGAAAATTGATGATGATTGCCTGTGTTGCAATCGAAACGTCGTGAGAGTTTTATTGTTTTATTTTATTATTTCCCTTCTACGTGACTTTACCGAAAGAGCCAAGAATAGGAATCCCTGCAGTCACGAAAGCTTTAAATCGAAAGATGCTCCCAGTACGTAGAATATCATTGCCATCTCTCTCTCATGTGTTAACAAGTATAACCCGTAAAAACAAAGTTTTTCACTATAAAGCCTTTATATGCGTGGCGGCTAGAGTCCTCTCGTCCTCTGGCTTGAGATGGCTGCCACCTATGGGTCAGATTATTGCATGGCAGCATTAAGCAATTGGTAATTAAATATAATATTTTTATCCTAAAAAGTGTAAAATTTTGGAAAAAAATTTTTCACGAACATTAATTGTCATGCACAATGAGTCTGTGTGCAAAATGTCAGCTCGATTGGATCACGGGAAGTGGGTTAAAAAACGACCGAAAGATTTGCACGGTCCTAAGCAAGCAAGTGAACTTAATATAAAGGATTTTAAAAAACGACGGTTCCACTTCGGGCAGGCATCGATTGCATCGTGCGCACGAGCGTGCGCGCGTCACTGCCGCTCTCTTCCCAGACGATGACTTCCGGATCCGCAAGGCCGCCCGTCCGGATAAGAAGCGGAGCCAGGAGGCGGCCGCGGGCAAGAGAAGGAAGAAACAGCAAGACGAGTGGTGAGACTCCCTTCTCAAGCCCTCGCTGCTAGGCACTAACGCCTCACTCGCACCAACGGCTCACACGTGCCCACTACCAACCATTTCCCCAACACCCCGCGTAGGCTATACCATCAGCACTGGGGGAGACAAAGGCAACCAGGCGTGGTACTGGTCGCACTGCCCCCCCTCATAGGTGTCCTGAATTGACCGTATATATTTCTGTCTATGTTGAACTTCTTTCGCACCGTACGTAGCCAACCGTGCTAATCGGAGGTGCGGGGGGGGAAGGACAACAAACCGAACACAAAAAGCAGTTCTAAAGAAATAAAGTTTTCAATCTCCATTTAAAAGTTGCGTAGCTCCAGCGGCACTCGCCCCAAACAGCCAGTGTGGGCTACACGGGGGGGCCTTTGTCTTTGTTGCATGTGTGGGTCCAGCGCGCTACAGCTGTCGGATGAGCTGACCTACGAGCAGGAGCTGCAGGTGGCGCTGGCCCTGTCCATGCAGGAGAACACCGTCACCGCACCCGCCAGCCCGGCAGCAGAGGCCTCGACCCCAGCAGCCACCGAAGCGGTCTCGAACCCTGACCCGCCCAACCGGGCAGCCGCGGCTCAAAACACTTTGGTTGCCGCACAGGATGACCCCGGCACACCCATTCCTCCGACGGCCACCGCCGCTGCTGCTGCTCCTCCGAGCCCAGAGCAGCTGCTGGCGCTATCGGACAAGCCGAGTTCCGGGTCCCCCCTGGCATTGGCCGAGCCGTCGGCCAGCGATCGGCGAATGCTTTCGCCACCATTGCACGACGAGCCAGAGACGCCCGCGGTGAAGGGAGGATGCTCCGAGGGAGAGGAGGGCCGCGTCGGTCTGCGGCCAGAGTCGGCGACGGCCTGCGAGCCCGGAACCGGCCTAGGCGAGGAAGCCGCGGAGAGCGGGCCGCAAGCGACCGGTGATTGCGGAACCGCGACGACGCCGCCGCCGGCAACGACACTTTCAGCGTCAGCATCATCGTTGACGGTGCCAGAAGAGCTCCACGATAGGGGGAAACAGCCAGAGGCCCTAGGTGGGTGCAGCTGTGCGGCAGTGATGGAACCGATGCGTTGGTTCATCGATTAACATTGGCGAGCGGAAATCCACACAAACTGCGTCAAATGACAGGTGTAGCTTCTTGGTTCTTTCGGTAAAGTCACTTTACCGAAAGAACCAAGAAGATGAATCCCTGCAGTCACGAAAGCTTTAAATCGAGACAGGTGTAGCGTTAAATTTCGATTTAAAGTTTTCGTGACTGCAGGGATTCATCTTCTTGGTTCTTTCGGTAAAGTCACGTAGAAGGGAAGTAATAAATAATAAAAATAAAACATAATAAAATAATTCTCACGACGTTTCGGCCACAATGCAAGCAGCCGTCCTCAGGTGAAAACCAGGTCTGTCCTTCAGACGCTGTCGCCTCGACAGACCTGGTTTTCACCTGAGGACGGCTGCTTGCGTTGTGGCCGAAATGTCGTGAGAATTATTTTATTATGTTTTATTTTTATTATTTTATTACTTCCCTTCTACGCGACTTTACCGAAAGAACCAAGAAGAGGTGTAGCGCCTTGCAGACTTTACCACGAATAGTAAATCGCTTGGTTCCGTAGCCCTGTATTGGGATTTTGGGTCAACTCCATGAGCAAGTTTTTATTCACGTGGTAGGAAACTTGGAGCGCACGCATAACAACCCATGCATGAGAGGAGGGTAAAACTTAATCCCCGTCAGAGGTCGCAAACGGGTTTTGATTCCTTACCCCAGAGCCGGCCCAGCCACTAAGCGACCCTTGCAATTGCAAAGGGCCCCGTGGCCAGCAGAGGGCCCCCTAGAGTCACTGCTGGCTAGTGGGTGAAAAAAATCATACATCAAAGGGGCCTCCAACCAAATTTTGCTTAGGGCCCCCATAGGTCTAGGGCCGGTTCTGCCTTACCCGTATCCGTACCCGGCCGCACCAGGTTCGCAAACGGGTACCCGTACCCGGCCGTACCCGTACCCTACCCGTACCCGGCCGGGTACTGGTAGGGTACGGGTATCGGGTACCTGATTGCGACCTCTAGGATGAAGCCATGTTGCAGGCGTGGGTGGGTTGATTCTAGGAACTTGAATTGTGAGAAGAGACAAGACGTTGAGAAATGAGTGACAAACGGTTAGTCACCAGTGACTCACGGCCTACCCGTACCCGACCGCACCAGGGTTGCAAACGGGTACCCGTACCCGTACCCAGCCAGGTACGGGTAGCCGGGTATCGGGTAGGGTACGGGTATCGGGTACCCGGTTGCGACCTCTGATCCCCGTACAGATGCTAATTAATCTACTTGCTGGCAAGCCAGGAGATGGCAGGTGGGATTTTCACGAATCGGCGTGTGGTCCACAAACCCTCACTGCCTCCACAGTGCTGGGTTACAGGCCACGTGCAGCAAAGCCACCAGCTCAGTGTATCAGTAATGAGAATAGTCTACCACCTACTTCTCTCCGTAAAAACACAGCCAGTTCATTCTCTCCTAACCCTTTCCCGTCACGAGGTGTCTGCCATTTGCAGGGTGTGGGTCTCGTTCACCGATGAATCTCGTAACTCGCGAGCGGTTCAGAGTTCATTTTATTTAGAGGGGCGTAACGCAGTTGCTTTTAAAGACATTGCACTCGCTGCAGAGAACCGTAGCGACACGACCGCGTTTTAGGATAGCTGGCGCCAAACTGCCGCACGCCCTCTTGGCATGGGCCTTGTGGGAGTCTAGGTGATGATGAAGTTATTTGAAATTTTTCTTTCGGTTCCATTCCGATGGCATAAATGGAATCGGAAGAAAAACTGACGACGCACACGTACGTCATCGGAATGGGACATGGTTAAGTGTAAATTACACATCACAGACTGTTCCGGTGGTGGATTCGGTTCGAAACCGGTTACAAATGGAAGATTTTCACTCCCCCTTTTTTTTTTACTCCCAGCAGAGTGCGACACGTCGGAGAGCGCCGCGCGCGCGTCTGGCAAAGGCCAAGCCAAACGCAGGAGCAAGGCCAAGGTCCTCCCTTCCACATCGCCCCCGGCGCACGATCCTGCCGTCACCCCGTCTCCAGCGGCGGCTTCGCCCGTCACGGAGGCGGCGCCCAGCAAGGGGAAATCTCGCAAGAAGGCGCCGGCGGCGGCGGCGGTGGAAAAACCTGTCAAGAAAAGAGTCAAGTCGAAGGCGAAGGGCAGCGCTGCCCTAGAGCAGCCGGCGCAGGTTGGCGCCCCTCCACCTCCTCCGCCACAAGCGGCTGTGCCTCCGCAAGACGCGAACGGTGATTTCTTACTCACGGCCTCTTTTGTTTCACTGCACGACCGAGCCGCGACGGGGGGCTGTGCCAAGCCAACCAGGCTCGGCTCAGAATATCAGAATCAGAACACATTCCTGCTGCGGAGGGAGCTGGTAGGAACGTTGGGTTGCTCGGTCAATGGCCAGGGTCAACGGCGGCGTGGTGTATTCCGCAAATATGGCCGACTGTGAGGGCGGGCACAAGCCGGCGTGAGTAGGTTAAACGTTGAGTTTTATAAGGGCACCACGGGGTGACCAGCCCCTCCCCACCCAGCCCCACCCCTCCCACCCCCCACCCAGCCCCACCCTCCCCACCCAGCCCCACCCTCCCCACCCTCCCCACCCAGCCCCTCCCCTCCCCACCCAGCCTCACCCCCCCCACAACCCCCATCCTCCCCTCTCCACCCAGCCCCTCCCCACCCAGCTCCTCCCCACCCTCCCCTCTCTACCCAGCCCCACCCCTCCCATTTTTGGTTGCACGACGGACGGACGGACACAATAATCCCCTGTGGGCTGGTGGAACCAGGTGAATCCTACCAGTAATGTTTATTTAGACTGGAGGAATTTTTTTCACAGATGTCCAGTCGGGGCAGGTCAGAACGTTGCAACAACAAACGATACAAACAGACGAGAGGAGTGCAAAGTGTAGGAAAGGTAAACTAATCACTTTAAAAAATATATACAACTAAAACTAAACCATTTTTTTACCTTACCAGGTTCAATTACACGGAAATATTGTTTGGGTCTTTCGGTAAAGTCACGCAGATAGGTTCAAAGAAAATAACAAAAAACTACGACGTTTCGATCGTCATCCTGATGGCGGCCGCTTGTGTTGCGATCGAAACGTCGTAGTTTTTATTTATAATTTTCTTTGAACCTATCTACGTGACTTTACCGAAAGTTTTGATTTAAAGCTTTCGTGACTGCAGGGATTCATCTTCTTGGTTCTTTCGGTAAAGTCACGTAGAAGCGAAGTAATAAAATAATAAAAATAAAACATAATAAAATAATTCTCACGACGTTTCGTGAGAATTATTTGATTATGTTTTATTTTTATTATTTTATTACTTCCCTTCTACGTGACTTTACCGAAAGAACCAAAAAGATTTACCGAAAGTCCCAAACAATATGAATTCCTGCAGTCACGAAAGCTTTACGGTCAAGATTTGACACTGAGATAATTAAGCTTATTTTTCAGAAGCTGCCACTGCAGAACCCGAGCCGTGCCGTTGATGTCACGCGCAGCGAACGAGTCGAGACACGTTTGCTGAGCGACGCCGCGATTTAACTCGCCGTGTTTTCCAAGCGCAGGCGTGACCGCAGATGTCGCTTCCGAAGCGGCTCCGGACCCATCCGCAAGCGCGGCCGTGGCCGACGACGGGGCAACCGACAACGCCGGTGCCTCTGACCACAGCGCGTCGCTCAAGAAGAACAAGAAGGCCAAGACGAGCAAGCCGGTGGGCACGGCACGACCCACGGTGGTCACGCTGCAGCAGATCAGCGGCGGCGGAGCGAACCAGGAGGGCACTGATGCCGGTGAGCAGCGGCGGTCACATTAATAAGAATTCCTGTTCTCGGTTCTTTCGGTAAAGTCACGTAGAAGGGAAATAATAAAATGATAAAAATATAAAACGATAAAAATTCTCACGACGTTTCGACCGCAACACAAGCAATCATCATCAGGCGTGAAATCCAAGAAAATGTGAAAATTTTGTTCAACAGTTTAGTAAATGTATTGAGTTCAATACAGAGCTAACAGCTCACCGTCTTCACACGCATCTGAAATTCCATCTGTAGTCAGACGAGAATATCAGTGTTACTTCACTACTTTTCAAAGGGGGGGGGGGCACTTCCGCCGATAAGACATCAAATTTCGATTTAAAGCTTTCATGACTGCAGGGATTCATCTTCTTGGTTATTTCGGTAAAGTCACGTAGAAGGGAAATAATAAAATGATAAAAATATAAAACAATAAAAATTTTCACGACGTTTCGAGCCACTCTCTATTTAAGGCCTCGACACCGAGGCGTTGTGTCTCTGTGTGTCTCTCTCTGTGTGTCTCTGTGTCTATGTTGTGTGTCTCTCTCTGTGTGTCTCTGTGTTGTCTCTCTCTGCTTGTGTCTCTGTGTCTACGTGTGTGTCTCTCTCGCTCTGTGTCTCTGTGTTGTCTCTCTCTGCTTGTGTGTCTGTTGTGTGTCTCTGTGTGTGTCTCTGTGTTGTCTCTCTCTGCTTGTGTACAGTCTGTCTGTGTGTCTATGTTGTGTGTCTCTCTGTGTTGTCTCTCTGCTTGTGTACAGTCTGTCTGTGTGTCTATCTTGCGTGTCTCTCTCTCTGTGTGTCTCTGTGTTGTCTCTCTCTCTGCTTGTGTCTGTCTGTCTGTGTGTTTATGTTGTGTGTCTCTCTCTGTGTCTCTGTGTTGTCTCTCTCTCTGCTTGTGTGTCTGTCTGTGTGTCTCCGTGTTTGTGTTTTGTCTCTCTCAAATTTAGCAATCTTTGGAAGAACGGAATCAACCAGGTAGGGTGTTGACTGTTGTGTTGGCCGACTCTCTGTGTTGTATTGCATGATATTTCTAAGTTTACTAGATTTGTTTTCTCATTCATTCTTACCTGATGACATTTGCTTGTGTTGCAATCGAAACGTCGTATTCTATTATTGAATTTATTTTCTTTCCACGTGACTTTACCGAACGAACCAAAGAGTTGTTAAGTGATGTTTGTGCGTCGCCCTGCTTGACTGCGCGAGCTCTCTCTCTCCTTGTGCGTTTCAGAAGCCGTCGCTGCTAACGGTAAGAAGAGCGCGGCGGTCAAACCAGCTGCTGCCAAAAGTCGGAAAATTCTACAGCCGGCAGGTAATAAATCCCGAGCTGTACTCCTTATCTGAGCAGGGCACAACTAAGCCTGTGGTTTCCACAGCCCAGACTGTGGTGTCAGTCACGGTGGTGAGACATTAACTACCTCGCTTGGTGTACATGAGGTCGTGGGGTCGATCTTGACGCCTGTATTTTTGGAGTTTGCATGTTCTTTCTGTGGTCGCATGGATTTTATTCATCGGGTCCTTTGGTTTTCCCCTCCGCGTTTAGAATCAACAAGCGTTGAAAGTATTTGGCTGCTACTATAAATTTCCACAGCGTAAGCCACTTCATAGAGCTATCATTGTGATGGCCTTACTTAGTAAAATAAAAAATATCTTGGTTTTAGTTTTGATATCTGCATCTGCGGCCCGTTCTCTAACACGGGCCGGTGAACTGCTTTACTTATGGACAGCAGTTGGCAAAACATTTGGAATACTTAAAAAAAATCCATTTAAGTTTAACAACCAATATTATCCATACTCTTTGGTCCTTTCGGTAAAGTCACGTAGGTATAAAATAAAATTAATCGCGACGTTTCGGGCGCAACACAAGCGTCCGTCATCAGGTGGGAAAGCATGATCTGAAATAAAAAACATAGTTTAGTTTCAACAGTTTAGTAAATGTATTGAGTTCAATACAGAGCTAACAGCTCACCGTCTTCACACGCATCTGAAATTCCATCTGTACTCAGACGAGAATATCAGTGTTACTTCACTACTTTTGAAAGGGGGGGGGGGCCCACTTCCGCCGATAAGACATCATCAAATTTCGATTTAAAGCTTTCGTGACTGCAGGGATTCATCTTCTTGGTTCTTTCGGTAAAGTCACGTAGAAGGGAAATAATAAAATAATAAATACATTTATAGAGGACGGCTGCTTGCGTTGTGGCGGAAACGTCGTGAGAATTGTATTTTATTATGTTTTATTATTTTATTATTTCCCTTCTACGTGACTTTACCGAAAGAACCAAGAAGAAGACATCATCGGTGCGAGAGCAGCCACACCATTTGAAACAGTCGGGGGTAGCACGACGCTGATGGGGGGGGGGGGGCAGTGTTTAAAATTTTTGTCTATTGTCGGGGGCCGTACGTCAGAGGCCGCCAGTGACCCCGTGTGTGCATGGGAAGGATATTCTGACGGGCTTTGAAGCATGTAATCTTATGCTTTTAAGATAAACGTAAAAAAATAAATGTCACATAAATGAGAGCGTGGCATGAGTAGGGAGTGTTTGATGAGCATGGCGTCCAAAGGCACAGGTTCACTGAATTCTATACAACAGATGAGCACAGAACTGCATTAGCTGTTGATATGCTAGACCACATACGCATGCCATCTTCGACCACACGCAGATTCATTGGCTTGCAAAGTGTTTCGGTCACACTTTTTCTTGGTTCTCACCATTTATATTATTGTGATGGAAGAGTAGGCCAAAATTACTCTGTAGTGAGGCTCTCCATAGCTCCCTCTGATGGTGGCTTATCCACCAACAGTGGCATGAGCAAGACATTGCATAGCTGCACCTTCATCTCATAAAAACACATTCCTGCGGAGGGAGCTGGTAGGAACGTTGGGTTGCTCGGTCAATAGCCAGGGTCAACGGCGGCGTGGTGTATTCCGCAAATATGCCCGACTGTGAGGGCGGGCACAAGCCGGCGTGAGTAGGTTAAACGTTGAGTTTTATAAGGGCACCACAGGGTGACCAGCCCCTCCCCACCCAGCCCCACCCCACCATCCCCTACCCTCCCCACCCAGCCACTCCCCACCTAGCCCCTCCCTCCCCACCCAGCCCCTCCCCACCCTCCCCTCTCCAACCATCCCCACCCCTCTCATTTTTGGATGCACAACGGACGGACACAATAATCCCCTGTGGGCTGGTGTAACCAGGAGGTTCCTACCAGTATCATGCATTTGTTCGGGTAACCAGAAGCCAATGCAGCTTGGCCGAGCACTGGACGGACATGGTCGGAACTTGCAGTACCCGTCACGACACGTGCCAAAGAAATTTGTGCACGCTGCAGCTTGAGATGACGCCAAAATGTCGGCTATGTCGCAACTCTCTCCGCCCCCTCTCTCTAAGGCCTCGACACAGAGGCGTGGTTTCTCTGTGTGCCTATGTTTATCTCTCTCTATGTATCTCTGTGATATCTGTCTGCTTATATGTCTGTCTATATGTCTCTGGTTCTGTGTTTTATCTCTCTCTCAAATTTAGCATTCTCAGGAAGAACGTAATCAACCAGGTAGGGTGATGACCGTAATGTTATCCGACTCTCTGTTGTATTACATTACATTTCTAAGTATACTAGATTTGTGTTTCTATTTCATTTATACCTGATGATGATTGCTTGTGTTGCAATCGAAACGTCGTATGCTAGTATTTAATTCATTACTTTCTCTTTACACGTCACTTTACCGAAAGAACCAAAGAGTAATTCCTGCAGTCACGAAAGCTCCAATTTAAGTTTGCAACTTAAGTGGTCGAATGTGTGTCGAATGTGTGTCGTAGAAAATTGCAATTGTTGAGCTGGAAGCGGCACCGCCATCGTAACATTCTGCTGTGCCAACCCCCCCCCAGTTGCTACAGCGGGACGGGGGCTGGGCTCCCCACGGTGCCGAGGGGCCGAAGCGTCATCGGGAACTCCCGTGGGAGCGACCGGAGCGGCGGCCGCCTTGGCTCGCTCGCCAGGAGGCATAACCCTGCGCCTGGGCCTGTCGCGGTTCGCTCGGATCAAGCCCCTGCACCCGACGCTGCCACCAGAGTAGAGACGTCCTGCCGGGATCGGACAACGCCGGGATCGGTCCAAGTGGATCAGCTGTATTTGGTTAATGTCACCAGAACCAGCTGTATTTGGTTAATGTCACCAGAACCAGCTGTATTTGGTTAATGTCACCAGAACCAGCTGTATTTGGTTAATGTCACCAGAACCAGCTGCATTTTGGTTAAATTTACGAGAACAAGCTGTATTGGATAAATTCTAGATTTGAAGCTTTCGTGACTGCAAGGATTCATACTCTTAGTTCCTTCGGTAAAGTCACGTAGGTAAAAAATGAAATTAAAATTAATAAAAAGAAAAATAATTTTATAGTTTTTTTTTATTAATTTTAATTTCATTTTTTACAGTGATTTTTTTTATTTTTTTATTTTTTAGTTTATTAATTTTAATTTCATTTTTTACCTACGTGACTTTACCGAAAGAACTAAGAGTATGTATTGGATAAGTTCACCAGAATCGGCAGCATTGGTTAAGTTCACCAGAGATGGGGTGCATTGGAGTAAGGTCAATAGAATCTGTTTTAGTTATATTCGTTAGGATCACTGGAAGTGGTTAAGGTTCACCAGAATCGGCTATATCGGTTAAAGTTTACCGTAAATAAGCTGCATTGTTTTAAATTTCGATTTAAAGCTTTCGTGACTGCAGGGATTCATATTATTGGTTCTTTTGGTAAAGTCACGTAGAAGGGAATAATAAAATAATAATAAAAAGAACCAAGAATATGCAATGTTTTAATTCATAAGGATCGGCCGTATTGGTTAACTTATTTACCCAAGAAAGCCTGATTGAGTCTGGAATAAAACAATGCATACGAGATAACGTTAAAAATAAAATCTGTAAAGATGGATTCATGAACCACATTGCTATACTTACATCTCCTGGCCTACTTGTACCTCGGTGGGTTTGGGAGTTGCAGGAATTTGCGTGACCCACCTACCCTTGCCACCAAAGCGCTGGATCAGAGGCGACAGCTTCATCGGTTAAATGTTTACCGATTCTTGTGATGTTGACATTCGCCAAGGATCATTTTCCGATTGTAATGGGTCATGTAATGGGCCATGCGGCATATACGTTGCATCAGCAACCTGTGTATAAGAGGATATTTTTAAGGAAAAGGGCCAACGAGTGTGTGTGTGTGTGTAAAGAATCATTCCTTCGACAATTTAAATCAATTTTTATGCCCGCGATGGAAGTATAAAATTGGGGGTTGTTTACGATGTATACAATTGCAGTGATATGTAACTTCGGGAGGATGGAAAGAGACGAGATGAAATATATGAGGCAAGACGACATGGACAATAATGGATTGATTCCTTGTAAAATCATGTAAGATAGTTTAATTGCAGGAGTGATGATGGTTAAATGCCTATTCCCGAGCCTCAAGTATTAGACTGCGTGTGCCGTGCATTGGATATCAAGAGGGTTTTTTTGGTTAGATCGCGTAAATATAAATGTGTCGTTAAACCCATCAGCACCCGACACAGCCAATTAGTAAGGCTTGTCACGAAAGCCTACGTGTTCAATTGAATATCTGGTTTGCGCCGAAGCGAGTTCGATATTGCTTGTGTTTTCACGGTACTACGGGTATCGCTTTACTTATTTAAATGAGCTGCCTTGTGGCATATTCTATTTATACGTGTACTCGATTGTGTTTATGCAATGTGCTTTTTTTTTTACCCCGAGGTGCTGTGTTTATCACACGAGAGAATTGTTTAAGTGCTTGCACGCTGGACTCAATGAATGCCCCATCACACCGAGTTGCCCAGTAGTTAGTACCTTTGCGGATCTCATCAAAGACCAACAAACCATCACACTAATTTCGGTAATCCTCGCAGCGGCGTTTGGCGAACCATCGAACAAAGACGGTCAACGCAACCCGCGCTTTCAGATGCGCTTCTGCGGCCGTCTGGAACGCTCTAATGACATGAGGAAGCCACTGGAGCTACATGCACTTTTCAATAATTTTGATTGAAAACTCATTTGTCGAGAACTGCGGTTTTGTGTTCTGTTTGTTCTTCCCGCACCTCCGATTAGCACGATTGGCTACATACAGTGCGAAACAAGTTCTGCATACATACCTTTGATGTTCAGTTGTTTTTTTACATTACTGACTTCGCAGCTAAATTTCGTTTTAAAGCTTTCGTGACTGCAGGGATTCATATTCTTGGTTCTTTCGGTAAAGTCACGTAGAAGGGAAATAAAATAATAATAAAACGTGAGAATTTTATTTTCTTTTTATTTCTAGATTTGAAGCTTTCGTGACTGCAAGGATTCTCTTAGGTTGTTTCGGTAAAGTCACGTAGGTAAAAAATAATAAAAATAAATGAAAATAACTAAATTAAAGCACGACGTTTCGGAGGCAACACAAGTCTCCGCCTTCAGGTGGGACCGTCACAGCCACATTTACCGAAAGAACCAAGAATATGACTTTGCAGCTGTTAAAGAAGATACTGGGCAGCAACGTGGTGCCAGACGATGAGTGCGTGGGGATGGTGTCTGTTGATGGTTTCTGCATCGCGAGTGCAGGCATCGTGTGAATAAACGTGTGTTGTATTTAACTTGCATTGACGACCCCCCCGTTTCATCTGCTTGCAATGAACAGAAACTTTTTTTACCATGGCACCACAGGATGGGGAGTGGAGTCTTTAAATTATTTTAATTTGACCAGGTAGACCCCCAGTGCGTCAGACGCGACCTGGCCACAATGCAGGGGTGGGGAACCTTATTTCTGCCAAGGGCCATTTGAATATTTATATAACATCATTCGCGGGCCATACACAATTATCAACTTAAAAATTAGCCCGCTATATTTGGTTAAACATTTAATTAACTCACCCCTAATGTGATGGCTGGAACTGCTTCTCTTTGGCGAGGCGTGTGATGTTAGCTGGTGTTGATGATGTTGCTGCTACTCGCAACTGCTTTTCCAGGTTTGCTCCTAGATTTAGTGAATCCTTTATATTAAGTTTGCTTGCTTGCTTGCGTGCTTGCTTGCTTGCTTACGACCGTGCAAACCTTTCGGTCGTTTTTTAACCCACTTCCCGTGATCCAATCGAGCTGACATTTTGCACACAGACTCGTTGTGCGAGACAAGTAATGTTCGTGAAAAAAAATTCCAAAATTTTACAGTTTAGGGAAAACAAATTAAATATTTAATTACCAATTGTTTAATACTGCAGACAATCATCTGACCCATAGGTGGCAGCCATCTCAAGCCAGAGGACGAGAGGACTCTAGCCGCCACGCATATAAACGATTTAGAGTGAAAAACTTTGTTTTTACGGGTTATACTTATTGAATTTCGAGTCCCGCCTGCGGTTGCCTTGGCAGGACCAGACCAAATGATTTCGCGGGACTTATACGGCCCGCGGGCCGGACGTTCCCCACCCCTGCCTTGAAGTGATAGCTCAACGAAGTAGCTTATCACGTGTAAATTGAAATAGCCACATCCTCGAATGTAAGGAAAGGTGGGGGGGGAAGAGAAATGAACAAGGAATGGGAAAAATTGACGCAATAAAATTAAAACTATTTTTGGTTTTATTTTTCCACCTACTTGACTTTACAGTGTATTCTTGCCCGTTAATTTTCCATAAAAAAACGATCGTCCCAAAAAGTGTTAACAATTTTTTTTTCAAATCTTATAAATAACCAGAGATAAGCACGGTCAAGCCTGGAGGGGGCTTTAACCTCTGAACTGGCATCTGTCACCGAGCCCCTCCCACAGACCCCACGCCTCCGTCTCCTCTCTGAGGGCCTCCGTGTCCCGTCCGCCCCACGGAGCGATGGAGTCTCTTCTGGCCACAGCCGCCGTCTCCCTCTGCGTCTCGGACGTTCTCTCGGCCGCCCGGGGCCCCGTCTCCTCCTCCTGGAACACCGCGGAGGCCACAGCTGCGATGGCGTGGACCCGACGACACCTCGAGAGCGCGACCACCCCACACGGCCGCCCGCCCGCCGGCCACGACGCGCTCTGCTCGGCGGGGCTTCTAGGCGAGGCGCGCGCCTGCGGCCCTGCCTCGGTGTTGTGCGCGCTGCTGAGGAACCCGTGGCTGGGCAAGGAGACGCGGCTCTGGGCGGTCGGGGAGGCCCTGAAGGAAGGTGGGGACGGTGGAGGGGCCTTGCTGATGGAGCAGGCGAGGCTGAGGGCTTGCGTGGAGATGCTGGGTCTGGCGGCCTCTTCAATAACATCACCAACAACAACAACAACACCATCATCATCCTTCGTTTCGTCCTTCTCGTCGTCCGCGGCGTCCTCCTCCACGTTGGGCCCCAGGGCTCGGCTCCTGCGGGCCGCTGTGGCGGCGAGGCGGAGGCGAGGAGGCGAGGCCGCGGCAGTGGAGATGCTGCAGCGTGGTCGCCTGGCGGGGAGGAGGAGGAGGATGACAGGGAGGAGGAGGAGGAGTTCGTGGCTGGCTGAGCTCGCCCTGGCCGCGCTGGTGGTGAAGGGTGAGGAGGGGGAGGAGGAGGATGAGGATGATGGGGCGAGGGACACGATTGAGCGGTGGCTGCTCGAGTCGGGCGCCTTTGAGGAGGTGTGTGATGGTGGTGGTGATGATGGTGGTGGTATTGGTGTTGATGGTGGTGCTGGTGGTGCTGGTGGTGTTGATGGTGTTGGTGATGTTGGTTGTGGTGGTGGTGTTGGTTGTGGTGGTGTTGCTGCTGGTGGTGTTGCTGCTGGTGGTGTTAGTTGTGATGGTGGTGGTGCTGGTGATGGTGGTGTTGGTTGTGGTGGTGATGATGGTGCTGGTGGTGTTGGTGGTGTTGGTGATGGAGGAGCCAGCTGCGAGGTGAAGCCGGCAAGGGACCGAAGCCCACACAGCCACTCAACTCGACAACAACAGCAGCAGCAGATATCAGCTCAGGACCGAGCACCAGCCCAGCAGCAGCAGCGGCAGCACATGAACCCGAGACCGAACCAGACCACCTCGCAAAGCCTCAACCCATCAACGCAGCGCCATGCCGACAAAGCAACCACCACAAGTGGCCACGCACACCCACAGATGCCCCCATCCCTGACCGAACCCCGTGGCCTCCTCCTCGCCGCTTGCGCCCAGCGGCCCCGGCTGCGCGACTTCTACCTCGAGCGGCTGAGCGGCCACGTGGCCTCGCTGCGCCGCGACTTGGGGGCCCACGGGGGGCCGTGCGCGACCCGCTGGTGGACGGGGTCACCCGGCTGGACAGAGCTGCGGGACCGCTTCTCGGAGCTGCTGATGATGAAACCGCCCGGGTCGTGCCACAGCGAGTTGCG